TGTTGACAAATGATAGCCATTGACTTTTTTTTCCCTATTATAGATGTATTATAGAAAATGGCTAGCAATTTTCAACATTCTTCAGAATATCTCATTTTGGGCTCAACAGAAAAAAAGAAACTCATAAAGGTTTTGAACTAATAAAGAAATGTTCATTTTTGAGTGAGCTACCCCTGTAAAAATGCTATATGTTATTGTTCAGATTTATAAGTTCAGGCCCGGAAAACGTGGATCCTACACTTTCAGTCATTTTTACCCAGTTTTTATCAATGTTGATTGCTTTTTAAACAGGGGAGACTTCCGCACAGGCAAACGGCTCAACATGCGGAAAGTTATTCCCTACATTGCCAGTCAGTTCCGCAAGGATAAGATCTGGCTGAGGAGAACAAAACCCAGCAAGAGGAACTACCAGATCTGCCTGGCTGTGGACGACTCCTCCAGTATGGTGGACAACCACACCAAACAGGTACAGTCTTCCTAAAGCATTTCAGATATTAATTATAACCGACTAAATCAAAATGCAGTTAAAGAATCAGTCAAATTATACTCTGCATACAAGTCTAGGGAGGCTGAGAGGGTTTGTATCTAGAAGATGTGATCATGATAATCTATAATTCATGGACTTGACTTCATTCATTCATGCACTTCGCTCACTCCCTGGACACTTATGGATATTTATGCATAATTTGCCAGGTCATATATTGTGTGCTCCAAGAGTGGACTTCACAAACAAGAATACACTCTTTCCTCTTTATGCACCAGACACTTTATTAGAAACACAATGTTTTCACTGTTTGTTTGTATAGCTAAGATTTGTTTAAATGTTAGGTTTTTGTATCTTGTTAGATTTTCTATAGCTTCAGTTTCAAATATTTTATGTTTGGTCTTATTTTCTATAGCCATCTTATATTTAAATATCTAAAATTTTCTGTGAGTTTATTATACTCCATCATTTAGATTCTTATTGATAAATTGTTGATGCTGACACTACTTTAAAAACTCATAAAAGCTTTCACTGTGATGAAATTTATTAGAATACATTTTAAGAAAGCATATCATTTACAATGTCAGAAAAACATCCCTGTATTTGATCCCCCATGCAATATTAAATCTTAAAAAAAAAAAAAAAAAATTTCTAGTAAATGCACAGCATGTGATTTCTGTGCAGCCATACAATTCTGTCTATTGACTGATGGCAACCAGAATTAATATCCAATACTGCTGCCTATTGCATACACTGCTGTACTTTGACACTCCTAATTTAACCCATTAAAAATGAAGGATGTGTTACATATAAATTTTAAATATTCATAGTGTTTTGAATTGTTGTCTGTCCTCTGCTGTGTAGCTGGCGTTTGAGGCGGTCTCTGTCATCGTGAACGCTCTCACGCTTCTGGAAGTGGGTCAGGTGTCTGTCTGCAGGTCAGTTCATTCATTTATTTCGTGTTTGTCTTTTTTTAATCAGCTTTATAATTCTAATAATAACTTTTTTAACATCCTTTATGATATTTTCCAGAATTATTTATTGAAATATTCATTCATTTATCCTTCTTTTGACTCACTCTTTGTAGTTTTGGAGAGACTGTCCAGCTGCTTCATCCTTTCCACCAACAGTTCAATGACCAAACAGGAGCAAAAATACTGCGGCTCTGTCAGTTCCAGCAGAAAAAGACCAGAATCGCTCAAGTAAATTTATCATTCTCTTTAATGTTTACCTTTAGTTAAATTGGTGTAGAATATGAAGACTAACAATTTGTATCTTTCAGTTTTTAGAGACATCAACAAACATGTTCATGGCAGCCAAACAGCAGATCCCTGGTGCGACAAACACTGGTAAAATAAATTACATGTTATACTAATAATGTAAACGATGCTGCCCCTCAGTTCTGAATGTTATTCATTTACTTTTATAATGCTCTGATTGAATATGCTCTTCTATCCTTTTTTTTTTTGTTTTGTTTTTCTTTTAACAGAGACGTCTCAGCTCTTACTAATCGTGTCTGATGGTCGGGGTTTGTTCTTGGAGGGAAAAGAGAGAGTCGCCACTGCTGTTCAAGCTGCTCGCAGTGCAAATGTCTTCGTCATATTTGTAGTGCTGGATAATCCCAACTCCAGGGTGAGGAATCTTCTGAAGCAAAATAATCTGTATATTCACAGTGGAGTTTAGATAAAAAGGAAACTATATACTTTTTGACGTCACACTAATTTGTTTGTGATTTCATTATTTATTTATTTTAGATGATTATTCAGTGTTTATATGCATGTTGAAAATTATTAAATCTAAATGTACATCTACTAAATTGTAGTAATTATGATGTAAAAAATTTAAAGTTGGAGACATTCTTTTTCAATGTCCACATCAAATCAAATTTGCAACTTTTTTTTTTCTTTTTTGGACAGAAATAATTTTAAATACAGGTAAAGTGCCTATTGTAATATTTCAATTAACTTAAATAAAAATCTAGTTGGATAAAATGGAGAAAATAATGTTTTATGGTCATTCAGTATAAGTCAATGTTTGCCAACCCTGTTCCTGACGGCACATCAACACGTTCAACCTCTTTCTAATCAAAACACCTGAATCAGCTCATCAGAACATAACAGACTACAAAACCTGAGGTTAATAGGTCAGATAAGGGAGACATCCAAAATATGTACTGTTGGTTGGGAAACATTGGTGTAATCACTATATTTGTGTTAACATGAAACATAAATGATTGTACTACTAGAACACACTAAATAACATTTTGAATTTGAATGTAAATCAATGAATACAATTAATTAACTAATTGATTTTCTTCATTTCAGGACTCCATATTGGACATCAAAGTGCCCATATTTAAAGGGCCGGGTGAGCTGCCCGAGATTCGGTCCTACATGGAGGAATTCCCCTTCCCCTTCTATGTTATTTTGCGAAATGTGAACGGCCTCCCAGAGACACTGAGTGATGCTCTGAGACAGTGGTTTGAGCTGGTGACTGCCACTGAACAGTGATGGACCACCATTGTGCAGGAGCCAGAAGACACAACTGTAAAACTGAAGATCCACTGCTGCTAGTCCTCCTAAACATCAGTCCCCACAAAACACACACACACACACAAAAGACATTAGACGGGCTGCTGTACATGTGCCTTTTTCATTTAATTTCATTGACTTTGTAGTGGTTTTTCCTTCTCACAGCCACAATCGCAAGGAATTTCTTTTGTTAACATCGACTTTGCACATCTTTTATGTTGTTTTATTGTATTTTTTGTTTTATAAAACTGCACGGAAATGTGATGGAAGAATTTCAGCTGAACTGACTGAATATTGATTGAAGATACCTCCAAAGCCTGCAGCGTTTCCTTCATATTTTCTCATTCTCTATCATGCTTCATTTTGTAAATGTGAAAAACAAATAGTGTGAATGGCACTGCCAGTGTTTGAGAGGATCATACAACAAAAGTCCAACTGCATGTCAGTAATCACCTTCAGAACTGTTTATGGTAATCCAGAAAAAAAAGATAATAATGTGCCTTTACAAATCAACTCCCATTACCATCTGGATGATTCTCATCGTTGGTACTGACTCAAAGGATTCTGACTACTGAATCGCTGGTTATTTCCTCTTTACAACCAGAAGCACAATTTCAAACTTTTGAAAGATCTTTTAAGTTGTCTGTGATTTCAGTCAACACTGTTCTGTATTTAAACTTGTAGACAATAGCTTCATCTTATACTAAGCATATCTAGTTTTAAACATTTCTGTGGTTTAGTTCCGTTTGCACACACCTTTCTGCTTCTAGAAAGCAGCATCGAGAAAATAAACTTATTTCATCATGTACACATAGCTCAAGGGCAAGAGTAACATAGTTTGCATCTTTCTTCTCCTGTCATTTTCTTCCTCATCTCGGTTCATGAAATGGTTCTTGCTGATAACTGTGGAAATAATAATAATAAATCATTTTGGACATGATTTTCTGATGGTCTCAATTGGTGGTTCATTTGGGTTTTGTAATGAACAGTCACTTATGAAGACTTCATTTAAAAAATAAAATGATAGATATGAAGTCTTAAAATGATAGTTCCCCTCATAAAATATGCAATTCTGTCATCAGTTTGGTATGTAGATTTGCATTTTTTTATTGGTTTAACCCATTAATGGAAATAACTATTTTGAGGTAGTGTACATGAGGTTTCTACCTTTGAAAGTGTAGAATTAATTTATGCTTTTGTAAACCAAAACAAAGTGAACAGCTCTGTTTAAAGGTTGTTATAGTAAATGTTACATGTTTAATACTGTTTTCAACAATGTGGCTGTAACATAGACATCTTTTTGCATCTATCATTCTGTCACATCATCACTTTTGTGCTTTTTATTATAATTTAATTATCATTTTATTTGAACCCCAACCCTGTGTATAAAAGCAGGAGTTTTCAAACTGATCTAGGGGGTTTGGACAAAAAAGCATAAAATTGAGGAGGACAATAAATAAATTATGTAACATTTTATTAAGACTTATCAACAGATATATTAAATGATAATAATATATTTATCATACATAATATAGCATAATCAATACAAAAAAATAAGTAAAATAAAATAACACTAATAATGTAATATAACGGCAATAAATAAAATAATAATTTATAAGTAGATAATATATAGGAAATATTTTTTTCCAAATAGTATGAAATATTATAGACCAATTTATAATAGTAACTTTTCACACTATTCAGATATAGATTGCCTTTACTTTTTATGGTATCGTTCCTGTCTACATGCTTAAAACATTATAGCAATATATATGTTTTTATTATTTTACAATATGTTTTTTTTTTTTATTTTACATATTAAATAAAGAGTTATTAATTGACTTGCATAGCTTCTTTCTCCGCTATTATTTTGAAGTGACTGTGGCTCTGTCGACTTTTATATTGAAAGGCAGCGGCGCGAGGGGTTTTCACATTTGCTTCTGCCTTCCTAATCTAAAGTGCCCTTCCCAAACAAGTGAACTTCTGAAGTAGACTTATGAGTATGTGTTTGTGGATGCTTAATTATTTTTAAATACAACCTCATCCACATCTGCACACGCATGAAGTTTGGTCACTTACAACCGCTTAATGCCTTTTCTCTTCCGGACATCTTTCAGGATAGTTTTACACATTTCAGAGACTGACCACTTTAACTTACAGGTTTGTACATTTCAACTCATTAAAAAACACAAAAGGCTTTGAAATACTTTGAAAATGTGTTTGATTTGATGGAATGTTAAAATACGAACGTAAAACTAAGCTAAGTTACCAAGTTTTCTTTTCAAACTTTGAAGCTTTGTTCTCATGCAGTTTATTGTGTGAGCCAATATTAACATTTAGAGTCCATGTTAACATATGTTCCTATCGGGTTATTAATTTTTAATTTTAAAATAAGCCCTTTTTTAAGCTTCCTGTGTATTTCAGTCTGATGTAAATAAAGCATCCACAATGTACTTGTGAAAGGGTTTCTTTTGTCGTGCTTCATCAGTTTGTGTCTGTAGATTTTTTGTTACAATAACGTTATATTTAACGTTTTATTTCTCAAAAATATCTATTTAAAATCGTTACTTTGCTACACTTGCGTTACTTTTTTGTTATTATTATTATTATTTTTTTTCAAAATACGTCACTTTTATTTAATGTCTATGCATTATGAAGGATTTTACACCGGCATATGTTCATTCCGTTGTGGTAACCCAAGATTAATAAAAGGACTAAGCCGAATAGAAAATGAAGGAATGGCTGGTTGAATATAAATCATTTCACTTTATGAAACTTACTTATTACTGGCTGTTCAAAGTATTTTCTGAATTATTAATGATAAAAAAAATCCCAAAATTCCCCCCTAAAACCGAAAACTGTCTCTGATGTCTGAGCTCTTGAAGGATGAGTTTGGGGGAGATCAATGAGAATGTAAAAACCTTACACTCAAAGTTATGTAAAAAATTTAATGTAAAATTGCAAATACAAATAAATTTTCATCTAATTTATTCATTCAGGCCCATAGCCAGGGGGGATCTGGTGGTTTAAAAGGCCCACCCCTCACTGACTTAGGTCCAGAATTTGTCCCATACATGAGCTCACTTGTCCTATTTTGACTGCTGTGCCATCATAAATAGTGAACATAACCCACCGAAAAAGATTTTAAGACTAAGTGGAATCCTCTGTCGGCTGTCGCATCAGTGTGACTTCAGCTAATCTCTTTTGGCCAATGCTAATAATTATTTTTTTCACGAGTCCAACATTCAGCTGTGCAAGAAAACATACAGTATGACGTTTCCCTACTGTATTGTTTTCAAATAGAGAAAATATTATAAGTAACTTTTATTCTAAAGTTTGAAACAAAGAATGACCGATAAAAAGATGCAAAGCACCAAAAGCAACCGATATTAAAATTAATTTAAATACTATTTTGGCTATTGTTGTTGCCATCCAAGAATTTCCAAATGTACTTTTTTTTGCAGGATGAGTTTGGGGGAGATCAATGAGAATGTGAAGCTGGCTCGAGAATACGCTCTGCTGGGGAACTACAGCTCTGCGGTGGTCTGTTATCAGGGGGTCCTGGAGCAAATCAAGAAATACCTCTACTCCGTCAGAGACTCCTCTCTACAGCAGAAGTGGCAGCAGGTTGGAGTTTATCCTTCTAATCACCATTACCATTAGTTTTTCACTGCTTGTAACAGTTTGTGTGTCTCATTCAGGTTTGGCAGGAGATAAATGAGGAAACTAAGCAAGTTCGAGAGATCATGACAACACTTGAGAGCTTTCAGATGGAGTCGACACCTTCTAAACCCAGCAGTTTTGCCCAGGACAATGACATTATGCCTGTTCATGTGGAGCACAGGTACACATGTGCTGGGCAGTATGGCAAAAATTTAATCTCGATAATTATTTTCCATATTGAAAGATAATGATATATGTTTAGATACAAGTTGTTAATGTTTATAGACTTAAAAAAGTAACCCAACCATGACTGCAGCTGGTGAATTCTTATTAACAAAGTACATCATTATATTATGCATGTTAATGTGACTCTTTTCCATTTTATATGGTTCCTTTAACACCATAAATGTTGTAATGTCATTAAAATACAATCAAGCGTAAAACGAGACAAAAAGCCGTTTACTCGCACATGCCCGTCAGAATAGGCAGGCTAGCGCAGAAGCTCCATTGAATATGCTATGGTAAAATAAATGTTCATACTTTAAAACCATGGCAGGGACCCACTTTATATCGGATATCACTTTTTAAAGAAAACAGACCTTAAACACTCTGATTTTGTAATGGCAAACAGTTCACCGGAAGCTCTTAACCCAGGTTACTGACCAATTAAAATGGAAATAAATCAGTTATTAGAAATGAGTTATTAAAACTATTATGTGTAGAAATGTGTTGAAGAAGTCTTCACTCCGTTAAACAGAAATTGGGGAAAAAATAAACTGGGGGCTTCAACTTCAACTGTACATTGTACGAAATTTGTTCACATTGTCCGCTTGTGTTTTGTGATGACAGTCAGGAGTGTTTATGGTGAAAAACTGACATGGACATATAAACAATAACCGCTATTATATTGAATCGCAATAAAATTTATGTCAATAACAGTGAAAAGCTCTGGACTTTTTTACTCTATACAGAGTTGCTCCGGTTTCCCCCACAGACATGTGGTACAGGTATATTGGGTAGGCTAAATTGTCCATAGTGTGTGTGGATGTTTCCCAGAGATGGGTTGCGGCTGGAAGGGCATCCGCTGCATAAAAAGTTGCTGGATAAGTTGGCGGTTCACTCCGCTGTGGCGACCCCGGATTAATAAATGGACAAGAAATAAAGGCGACAAGAAAATGAATGAATGATTATCAGACATACTGTGAATATTTCTATCCTCTGTTAAACATTATTTGGGAAATTATTAAAAAAGAAAAAAAATCAAAGGGAGGCTAATAATTCTGACCTCAACTGTATGTGTACTTTTTTTTAAATCTGGAAGCATTAACAACTTAAATCGAAATATATATCATTATCTTAATACTTTCTTAGTAAGAAATCTGTATTTTTAAAATGTTTTGTGATGATCTTGAATCATTTTTATTTTTAATTTTCAACCTATTTTTGATCAGTTAGGTCTTCACAAGATGCTGAAGGTTTTCTTTCTCTCATTTCTTCTTTTTTAAAATTGCTTTCTTTGAATTGTTATTTTGCACTTTAGCCTCGGATGTTTACACCCATTTGAAAATGTGAAACTTCTTGAATTTTTTTAAATCTCTTTGATTGTCGGATCATGAATCCTGGAAAATGTTGGAACTCGTGCAATCGCTAAGGGTAAATTCTTAGAATTATATTGATATTTTTTTATAGGCCACAACAAATTTAAATGTGCATTGATTTGATGATAACATTTTTAAAGTATCCCAAAGATGACAGACTGAATAAAATATATCTAGTTATGTTGTTTAATTCACCTTATGTTGCTGTTTAATGTTTTTGTTTTAGTGGAAATATTTGTAAAGTAATATAGTGTTTCATTTAGTTTAACATTTCTGTCTACTGTTAAAAATCCTTATGCTTAATCCTGAAGACATGAATTTTCAGTCACACTGTGTTTCTTTTAGTGCCTGTTGTTGAGTTTTAAAGCCCCCATCAGCACTTTTGTCATGTGAATTAGATTAAAATCTGAAGGGCTTCCCAGCATCTCTCAGTCCCTCATACTCTTTCATGCCTGCCGTCAGGTCTGTTGAGCCTGTTATATAAACCGTAATCTGATTATGAACTAACGTTAACTAGGAACAATTCATTCCATTGAGAAAAATGAAAATAACATTCTAATTTTTCCTTTTGCTGTACGTTTGTGGGCAGATCGTCTCCATGTGTAGTACGGAAATCCTCTGTCCCGTATAAAGACAGTAAAGGTCATGGGAACAGGTTGAGCGTTGGACCCCGTGGGCAGGCTCGACCCTCACCACGAGTGGCCAATGGAGACAAAGGCAAACCTCAGAAATCCAAAGAAAAGAAGGAGAACCCGTCAAAGCCAAAAGAAGACAAGGTGAGGAAGATCTGTGGATCCCTGTTTGGACTAAATCTGATGCGTCATAAAGTACTCAAAAGGCATGATATTTACTTTTAGCATCAGATGCCTGTATTAACATTATAAACCTGTGATACCGGTTTCTTAGATCAAAGCAAACATATTAGAAAGAGTTAAAGCAAAACAGGCAAGTGTTTCCTTTGTAGTGTGGACTATTCATCTAATTTTTCACATGAGAGCGGGTGCGGCTATTGTAGCCTAATTGTGACCTGACTTCTGGTCTCATTCACTTCCATTGATTTATAGCAGTAAAAATGAGCTTGTTGTCGTGCTTGTTGCAAACTGGTTTATTTTTCTTATTTTGTTTAGCGATGTGATTCTTATGGATTTCTGTATTTTCTGAGCTCAATAGGGTGACCCCAGTAATTTGTGTAAATCTGATTTTGTTTATTTATTTATTTTTTGTAATCACGACCGTGTGCGCTCTATCTACATTATAAATAAGCCATAGTAATAATATTTGTTATCATTCTCTGCAAGTCATCTGTCCTTGTGTCTTTATTTATTCAGTGCTACAGCTTAGCACCTGAAATGTATTACCTGAAAGTTTCATAAGTTTAGATGAGATAACAAATTTATATAAATATCTATTTATAAATAATTAAAACTTTTAAAAAGCAGGGAGGGACTAAGCCGAAGGAAAGGGGAAGGGAAAGGGAAAGTGATACACTTTTTAGCAATGTGGCCTATCTTTTCAAGGTGAAATGTTAAAGTAGGCAACACATCGGCGCAGTAGGTAGTTGTGCATGTGTGGAGTTTGCATGTTCTCCCTGCGTTCGCGTGGGTTTCCTCCGGGTGCTCCAGTTTTCCCGACAGTCCAGGGGCCTAATCTACAAAGACAACGCACAAAGCTGTAAACGTGCATACGCAGTAAAAAATTCAGATGTATGAAACACTGCGTACGCCGAATCCCACACATATTCTCCCTGTACATCCGAATGAGCGCAAAACTCCTCCCTGCCTCCTCCCTCGTATGAATATGCTAATGACTCTACTTTGGCAAAACCCAATGAAAAAGCAATGGCAACAGCAAGCAAAAAGAGAAACTTTGGACATAATGTGAATTGGAGGTGCTGCTTTCAGAGGTAGATTGGAGAAAAGCGGTGTTATTTGCAAGTTTGTCCTCCAGAATTAAAAACAAAACAAAATACAGTAGGAGAGTTTAGCTGATGCGGTTAACACAGTTGGGTCTGATTGTGTGGATTAAAAAAGAAAGAGTGTGATTTATAGGTGTAAAATTTTTGTAAAGATTGAAACCTGGCGTACGCAAAGTTTTTGTGCGTACGCAGCGTTGATACATGAGGCCCCAGGTGAATTGGGTAGGTATGAGTGTTTTTCCCAGAGATTGATTGCGGTTGGAAGGGCGTCCGCTGCGTTAAAAGGTGCTGGATAAGTTGGCAGTTCATTTGCTGTGGCGAGCCCGGATTAATAAAGGGACTAAGCTGAAAAGAAAATTAATGAATATATGAATGTTAACGTATATTAGGCTACTCAATTCAACTGGACTTAATATACATTCATTCATTTTCTTGTCGGCTTAGTCCCTTCATTAATCCGGGGTCACCACAGCGGAATGAACCGCCAACCCATCTCTGGGAAACATCCACCCACACATTCACACAAACACACTCTACAGTCAATTTAGCCTACCCAATTCACCTGTACCGCATGTCTTTGGACTGTGGGGGAAACCAGAGCACCCGGAGGAAACCCACGCGAAGGCAGGGAGAACATGCAAACTCCACACAGAAACGCCAACTGAGCCGAGGTTCGACCCAGCGACCTTCTTGCTGTGAGGCGACAGCACTACCTACTGCGCCACTGCCTCACCCGGACTTAATATTTTTACAGTTCAAATTCTTGACTGGCTTGTTAATAAAGAGTCTAATAAGTTACAGGAAAAATTTAATTCTGTGGACACGAGAACTACCCGAGTTAGTGGCGCCATCTTGTGGCAGTGTGTGGATCTGTCCCGACATTGAGGTACAAAGTATAAACCCATTAAAAGGTTTCAATAGGCTTTAGACATTTAAAGTCATAAAACAAAAAAGAGACTTAAATAATGTGGCCAATATCCAATATTTATATAAAGAAAATTATTTATTATTATTATTAGAACCATTATTTCTATTATTAAATAAACAAAAATATGTATGTATTTGCTTTTTTTCTATTGCATTTTTATTTATCTAAAATATAGATTCTTACTGTTATTATTTTAGTTTTTTCGTTTTTTATTACATTTCTTTCTTCTTTTTTTTTTGGAAGGAATTTTATCATCTTTTTTGTCCTTGGCTGATCACATACCTGTATGTTATTTTAATTTTAACATATTATCATAAACACAATGATTTGTAGAGCAAGTAATTTGACTGTTAGCCTGGGTTAGGTGTAATTATTAATAGTTTAAGCTTAAACATAGGCAAATGAAATAGAAGTCCTTAGACAATCACAGAAAAGAGCTTACTTCTGAATTGCAGAATAAGATGACAATTAGCAACAAAACAGCAGAACGCATGGTGTGTTCTTATTGTTGTTCAGTTCTCCTGATTCATTTTGTGTAGTAAAAAGTAAAAAAAAGTGATTAATTTATTTCTGGATGACCTCCACATTTGTTATTAGGTAAGAAACATTTCTATAATAAAAATTACCTGAGTGACGCATTTAATAGAAAATGTCCTGTTACAAAAAATGATCCAATTAAACTAAATCGAATAACTTTATGAATAAACATTGTTTTATAATACTGTTTTATTGAGAATTTTTCAGATATATTGTGAAACATATTCAGTGTTTTCATATCTCATTGTATAATATTCAGCAGTGAATGAACCCTGAAACATAAGGAAGCTATGTTCAAAGCATACATTGCCATGTCAGATTGCATACCAGACATGCTGAGGTTATCCACTTGCACATTCTTTAAATAATCTCACTAATTCATATGTGTGTCACATAATCCCCTTTCCGGTTTACCCCCAGGTCTGCTTATGTGTCTTTCGATATCGAGTCAAATAGAAAGGATTTCCAATCTGTTTGATGTACCATTTTCAACAGTGCCTTATTCTAATTCAAACATTTGCCAAATACATTTTTAAAAATGACCCTTTCTGCCCTCTGTAGAACAAAGCAGAGGCTGTGGAGACTGAGGTGAAGAGGTTTGACAGAGGAGGAGAAGACAAAGACCTGATTGACGCTCTGGAAAGAGACATCATTTCCCAAAATCCCAATGTCACATGGTGAGTTCATCTGCTCTTTCCTCTCTTTGTTACATAAGTGTTTCCATATCTCATTGATTTTCTCAGATGCCCTCTTTTTCTGGAAAGTAATCAGACATGTATGAAGGTTTTTGATTTTGATTCATTACAGGGATGACATTGCTGATCTGGAGGAGGCTAAGAAGCTGCTTAAAGAGGCAGTGGTTTTGCCCATGTGGATGCCTGAGTTCTTTAAAGGAATAAGACGCCCATGGAAGGTATGAACCTATATTAAAAAAAAATAACAATCATGTATTTAAGGCTTTTACAAAGTTCCATCTCAATACCTCAGAATATTAGACCAATGCATATATTAGATCAATAGTATATATTAAATCAATGTATTTATTAGATCAGTGGTCACCAAACTTGTTCCTGGAGGGCCGGTGTCCTGCAGATCTTGGCTCCAACCCTAATCAAACACACCTAAACAGCTAATCAAGGTCTTACTATGCATACTTGAAATATCCAGGCAGGTGTGTTGAAGCAAGATGGAGCTAAACCCTGCAGGGACACCGGCCCTTCAGGACCTAGATTGGTGACCCCTGTATTAGATCAATAATATTAGACCAATTCTTCAGAGATCTCTTCACATTTCTTATCTTATTTCTTTTTTTTCATTAAAAAAGTAAGTGGTAAAACAACAAATTTAAATGCTATGTATTCAAATTTTTTTTTCAGATTTAAAGCTGAACTTAAGCATCATTACTGCAGACTTCAGTGTCTCATTTAGACATTTACATTTAGTCATTTAGCAGACGCTTTTATCCAAAGCGACTTACAAATGAGAACAAGGAAGCAATTTACACAACTATAAGAGCAACAATGAATAAGTGCTATAGGCAAGTTTCAGGTCCGTAAAGTCTAAGAAGGAAAGTATTAGTAAATTTTTTATAATTTTTTTTGAGTACAGTTAGTGGTATATTCAGAGAGGCAATTGCAGATTAGGAAGTGAAGTGGAGACTAAATAGTTGAGTTTTTAGTCGTTTCTTGAAAACAGCGAGTGACTCTTCCGTTCTGATGCAGTTAGGGAGTTCATTCCACCAACTGGGCAGATTGAGCGTGAGCGAAAGTGATTTCTTCCCTCTTTGGGATGGAACCACGAGGCGACGTTCATTCACAGAACTCAGGTTTCTGGAGGGCACATAGATCTGCAGAAGTGAGAGCAGATAAGAAGGGGCGTACCCAGAAATCGCTTTGTAAGCAAACATCAGAGCTTTGAATTTGATGCGAGCAGCAACTGGCAGCCAGTGCAAACGGATGAGTAGCGGAGTGACATGTGCTCTTTTAGATTAATTAAAGACCACTCGTGCTGCTGCGTTCTGGAGCAGCTGAAGAGGCTTGATAAAGTTAGCTGTAAGCCCCTCTAGCAGAGAGTTGCAGTAATCCAGTTTAGAGAGAACAAGAGCTTGAACAAGGAGTTGAGCTGCATGTTCAGATAAGAAGAGTCGGATCTTTCTGATGTTATAGAGTGCGAATCTGCACGATCGAGCAGTTCTAGAAATGTGGTCAGAGAAGTGGTCAAAGAAAATACAAACTACAAAATTTCAACAACATTTTATATATTTTTTGTTTCTCTTGATTTTTTTTTTTTTTATTAATATTTTCCCTAACATAAATTTCAGCTACAAATTTTTGGACTGTTATTGTAAACTATTTTGCTAGATTAGCTCTAGATTTGGCTTCAGTACTGACTAAACTAATGTATATGCACAAATATAATATTGTAAAGCATCCTATAGAAAATATGAATTTAAATGAGATATTTGTAAGGGGTGTACTATACTCATATACTATAGGGTGTACTAAAGGGGTGTACTATTCTCATACTCGTATGTACTCGTATATGCTGAGCACTGTATATGTGACATTTCTTTTAAGACATTATAATTTTTACTATTCATTTTGTTTTTTGTAATGCATCTTTTATGTCTCCGAAAAAACTTACTGACTGTAAACCTTTGAACAACAGCAGATTTAATGTTTGCAAAAATAGTTTTTTTGCAACGGTTGTATTATTAAAAGTAATGCAATAAATAAATATATAAGACATGTCTAGTTTTTTAGATTGACTCTTGCTGCATTATATAGTCTTGTATTTTGTCTTGCACACACAATAAGTGAACTCTTGTATTATTTTAGGGAGTGTTGATGGTGGGGCCGCCTGGAACCGGAAAGACGTTACTGGCCAAAGCTGTTGCCACTGAGTGCCGAACCACCTTTTTTAACGTGTCCTCCTCCACCCTCACCTCCAAATACAGAGGAGAGTCTGAAAAACTTGTCCGGCTGTTGTTTGAGATGGTAAAATCATAAACACAATTGTGTAATAGAGAAATAGTAGCAAATGTACCTTCAACTTTTATTACTCTACACATCATTTTTGTCTGTGTTTGCATGTTCATTCAGGCACGTTTTTATGCGCCCACCACCATCTTCATTGATGAGATTGACTCCATATGCAGCCGCAGAGGAACCTCAGAAGAACATGAAGCCAGCAGACGTGTCAAAGCTGAACTACTCGTCCAAATGGATGGTACTATTTATTCAGTCTGTAACTGAACAGTTGTAATGTGCTATAATGTGTGTTAGTGATGTAATATGCATACAGGACCATTATTGGCAATGAAACTTTGTAAAGAAGTGTTATGTCAGTGCATTTGCCATCTTGCCGTCCACTACTGGATGAATATATTATATTTATTCTCAGTTTACATACCATAACAACATTTTAATCCAAAAAAAAAAAAAAAACTTATTTCCGAAGTTTGCATGTTCAAGCCGACAAACTGGCATTGTGTAAAATAACGCTCAAGTGCTATAGAGTTAGAATAGGCTCAATAAATGCATAGCCAAATTCACACGCATGAAACCAAATTCATTTGCACAAAACATTTATTTATATATATATATATATATATATATATATAGTAGCGAGGCAGAGGGAAAAACAGCGACACAGTTGGATAAGTTTACAGACAAGTCCCCGGAGGGTGCTTTATTTACAAAGTGAAGGTAGTGCAAACGGTGCTCTTCTTCTAGGTGAGGTGCTCTGGTGCTCTGGGAAGTAGGTGAAGGACAGTGAGTAGTCGGGTGTGGGATCGTCACGAGCTGGAGTCTGCTGTGGAGAGACAGAGAGACAAGCATTAGCGCAGGGAGTCATTAGTTGAATGAAGCTCGTCCTCTCATGGCGTGGGCTTGGTTTATATGCCTCTCCGCTTGATGATGTCCAGCTGTGAGCGATCCTGTGCTGATGATGGTCCAGCTGGGTTGGATTAGCGACCAGGGCAACGTGGCATGTGTGTGCTCGTTACAATATATATATATATATATATATATATATATATATATATATATATATATATATATATATATATATATTAGGGCAGGAAAAATCTGATATTTTCATTTCTGTGATATGTACTGCGATGTGAAAACTGTTTCACCAGATGATTTAAACAGCTCTATTTGGGAAGAAGTCTACTTTTTAGATTTTGGAGAGGAGTGAGTCTCGAATAATATACAACAAATGAATTACAAGGATGGATAAATATAATAGAGCAAAGACAAAACTTTTATTTGTTATCTCTAATGAATTTTATTGGAGAGTCTAACTGAATTCAGGTACAGATATTGAATAATCAACAATGCAAAGTCTAGATTATATATAATGTGATCTTTTTTAAAGTGACAAACATTATGTTGTTTAAACTCTAAAATATCCAAATGTTCACAAAGGAACATGCTTTAAGGGGATAGTTTACCCAAAAAGGAAAATGTACTCACTATTTACTCACCTGCCAGTCATTTCAAACGTTTGAGTTATTAACATGTTTTGTTTTTGTTTTCAGCATAAAAAAGAAACGTGTAAACATTTTTAAACCAGTGAAGGGTGAAATGAAAATAGTACAGTTTAAATTGTGGGTGAACGATCACATTAAAAACACATACCAGGTGATAAACTTTTACTCCATCACGATTAAACCCCACATAGATTATAATCGACTATATGATCAACTATCTTCACATATTCTGCGACGTGACCATTGCGGATGCACACATTGCGATATCGATGCTGAAACGATTTATTGTGCAGCCGTAATATATATTAAAAAATGCAAGACACCATTTACAAATGATTAACAGTGTACAAAAAGTTTTGAATGTTTAAAATTTGTCAGTCAGATATGTGTGTGTGCAGTTTTGAGACTTTCCTGGCAGCGCATTCCTCATGCAGGTCACTTTTACCCTTTAGCCAATCAGATGCGAGTTTACTGCAAATGAAGTGCACACTGGGCAAATTAAGTTAAATTGCACAAAAGGTGTACATAGTGGATCTCCTCGATTAAAGTGCTCTCTGCATGATATGATTTGTTGAACAGTGAGCTTGCATCTGATTGGCTAAATGGTGTTTTGAAATGTATTGTGTGTGTGTGTGTGTGTGTGTGTGTGTGTGTGTGTGTGTGTGTGTGTGTGTGTGTGTGTGTGTGTGTGTGTGTGTGTGTGTGTGTGTGTGTGTGTATATATATGTATATATATATATATATATATATATATATATATATATATATATATATATATATATATATATATATATATATATATATGTATATATATATATAATGTTGTGCTTTTATTCTTGAATTATTATTGAGACCAATCTGGCTTCATAAAACGCTCATGAAGTTTTTAGTATTTAGTTGAAAACGGTGTTATGGAAACACCACTAAAAAATTTTAATGCTGTTTGGCTGATCATGCCTAACTGTGATTTTGTGTATCATCTTAACACCCCTTTTAAATGCACCTGTTGTTGCTATTTAGGTGTTGGTGGGACATCTGAAAATGACCCTTCAAAAATGGTAATGGTCCTGGCAGCCACCAACTTTCCCTGGGACATTGATGAAGCTCTGAGACGCAGACTGGAGAAGAGAATTTACATCCCTCTGCCCTCAGGTATACAGAATCACCCCAAATCCATCACTCATTATTATTCGGGATGCACCAATGTGTTGACTGACGATATTTATCAGCTGCTATTAGGTTCATTTAAAGCTATCTGTTATAATATTGCAAAGGCAAGCAGATACCATTGATGTATTGGCTAAAGAACCATAAAACTTCACTGAAAAAATTATAATATAATGTCATGTTCATAAAAGTTCAAGTCTTATAATAACCGCCAGTAATACTCAAGAAGTAATATTTCAATGAGTGCCCTTTAAAGGGTTAAATCAAGAGTGCCATACACCTGCTTTTGAGCGATGCTTCTGGCTGTTTGATCGCCCCCTGGGGGCTGGCTGCAGTATGTCATAAAGCCCGCCTCCTCAGTGTTAAAAAACGAGACATGAGCATAGATAAAAAAAAATTAAATACACTTGCTATAAAATGTCCTGAAAGATGGTTCTGGTCAATTAAGGCACTGGTTATCACACTGATATCTTGCAGATCTTCATTTTTGTAAACCGTATGTTTTTAGCCAGTAATTTACTGCTATAAAAATGGGGCGTGTCATCATGTTTGACAGTTGTGATTGACAGCTTCTCAAAGCAGACTATCGGAGCTTCGAGAGGAGATTGAAGTGTTATTATTTGTTTTCTATTATTTTACCATGATAAAATGAGTTGTTTAGCAGTAAACTATACTTTCTGACCTACAGAATCTGATGGATCACTGTTTATTTAGTAAAGTGAGGGTTTTATTCAATTGTATCTGGATGCAGCCTTTATGATGCAAGCTGAGATTGCATCACTCAGCGATGCAATGTCAGACACAATGCACTTAATGGAGTGAGTGACGTCACTGTGACGGGTAGGGTTAGGGGTGGGTTTAGGTGTGCGCATTAAAAAGCATTAGATGCAGCTCAGATTGTACTGCACCAGGTCTGCATCCAGACCCCTCTCGTTTTGTTGGGCTTTATTATTAGTTTGCATGCCTTACGTTGATATAATAAATACCATCAACCCATTATAAGAGAAATATTTTTAGTTCTTATAGCTGAGTCTAACTGTATGAAAGATCGTTTATTTCGGAGTCCAACACATATTGTTTTTATAAAATTATTAAAAACAGCCCAGATCACACAGTTTTTAAATTGTATATTATTACGTGTTTTTAAATGTAAGTGCTTATATTTATACCAGCAAGCCTTTGTTATTGTGGAGATACAGGCGGTCAAATGAGAATTTCCGGGGGCGTCGTTGATTTAATGTACAAGCTTTTGGTTGGAAGTTTAAATTCCGTGGCTCCGCCGCTGACTCCATTTGGTAGTCCCTTCTGCGGATGCCCAGGCTCCAATTTCAGTAGTGTTTTGCAACAGTTTGTGGCCGTCTTGAGGCGTTTTACCTTCAAAGCATTAAATGGTAAAAGGCACTGTCGCGTTGTCCATATTTTTTTACAGTCTTTTTTAAATACACAGAGACGATGTGTCCACCTTTTTTTGAATAATCAAAAATTTGAATAATGTTTTTCTAAATGCTAAAAATATAATCTGTACTAAATAACAGACCATAAAACAACAGCATTGGCTATAAGTTGATTAAATAAACTTGTTCTAATAAATGTCAAATAAAAGTAAAAAGAAAAATCAAATGGCAAAAATCATGCTTGAAGATTCTCATATTGCTGTTTTATGATCTTAATTCCTTAAAATGTTGGAAGAGTTCATTGTTAAATGAATCCAGTCCTTGTTCAGTAAAAATTAATTTAATGCAGAAAAACCAGCTGGTGAAAAGGCTGTGTAGTACTACATGCAATTGATCAATGTCAGTATCTGATTCAGCTAAAGATTTTGTTAAAATCAGTATCATATTAGACATAATATTCTATTGGTGCATCCCAGCTCATTATAGTACCATATTACCTGCCAGAAGAATATTACATCTCAACCAAACATCAATTACCATTGGAACTCTTTCAAACCCTTATTTGTCTTGCCGTAGCAAAAGGCAGAGTGGATTTACTCAAGATCAACCTAAAGGAGCTTGATCTGGCCAATGATGTCAACATGGACAAGATTGCGGAGCAGATGGAAGGATACTCTGGTGCTGACATCACCAACGTTTGCAGGTCTGGCTCTCAAACATCCTTCAGTTAAACCTGGCACCATTTTAAGTTGTGAAAGTGCCACTGTTGCAGAAGTAAAGAATTATTTTTTAATTGTTGCAGAGATGCGTCGCTGATGGCCATGAGACGGCGGATTGAGGGTTTGACACCCGAGGAGATACGAAACTTACCCAAAGATGAGATGCACATGCCCACCACAATGGAGGACTTTGAGACGGCACTGAAGAAAGTGTCCAAATCTGTATCCGCTGCTGACCTAGAGAAATACGAGAAGTGGATTGCAGAGTTTGGCTCCTGCTGATGATGCCAAAGAAACTACTTGCAATCACATTCGGCACTTTGAAAGACTGAGGGCCAGTTTCAATAGAGCATTCCCACCCCAGACCAGCCTGAAGTCATGGGGCCTAGAAAAAATAGGATCTTTTATGTACATATTTATAGTTTAATATTTAATAATAATAGGTTATCATTTCTGGTTCACTGCGTACAAGTCAAGCTTTTACCTCCTGAACTGAATTTCACTCCATAAATTGAATTTTTAAGGATGAAGGGAGAAATCATGAATGTTGGAGAGAGTCAGAAGAACTGGTTTTGGTGCCCTTATAACAAACAGCTCCTTCCTGTAGTGTAGAGACAAACGTACTGAGGTTGTGAGCACAGTAATGGGCTGTTTGTTTTTATTGTTTTATCCGTGCCTGTAAAATCACTGACCAAAGACCAGAACTCCTTCTAGATCCAAATGCTGCCCTAGGTAAAGCACTATGCAAGCTATTCCGTTCACTGTGGTTGATATGAGGGCCAAAGTGTCCAGCGCTGGATCACAGTCTTAATAGTGATGAGACCAGACTGTCTTAAAGGTGAGTCCGGCACTTTCAGAAACACTATTGAACTTCCGGTTTCTTTTCAATAGTGACATTCCATTTGATTGCCATGATCAAGTTGTAAAATGACATATTTTGTTGAATAAATATTTTTTAAATTGAATACAGTTTGCTTTATTTAGAGATGTACATAAAAAAAATAGCAAGCCAAACATGTTTGTGCAGAATTTACTCGTGTAACAAACCAGAGAAAAACAATGCTTCAGAATTACACAAACATAACTCATTAACCTCTAAAGATGGGCTACAATGAAATGTAAGCGTCCAACTGAAATGTTTCAAATGTTGAGGTACAATAATGATTTTTTTAAAGCGTATACAGTAGGTCATTTTATTCATCTAATACAAGTGAAAGCTGCAATGAATTCCTGGTACGCATGCTTCATGTAACAGCAATATCTGATGCAACATGAATAGCACATAAAACCACATTAAGCAACAGAGGCAGTTTCACAAAGGACATATAAAAATTGACCCAGAGTGAGAAATTATAAGAAAAAAATCCATTTAAATCAACTGGACCACTCAAACTGGTCAGTTAAAAGTTTTTTTGATAGTTCTTTCCATTTTCCCATTGATGCCACACCATTTATTTGTCAGCGATGACCCTTTACTCCTCAGGCAAGAGTAGTTCCATAATTCAAGCAGTTTAGTGAGAAAGGCAGGGCTATTTTAGGTATTGTGCTTTACATTTCAGCATTTTCACCATTCCACCTCTCAATGCACAATCCCCAAAGCACAGTGTAGTGATGAATACAAAAGTAATCTGCTAATTCAGATGTGAAAATAGAAATCTGTTGCCTTAGGAGTTTTCTTTTTGTTTCTTTTAAATTGCTACACTGAACTCATTGGTGTTTCGACCAAATAAAGCCACATAACCAAACTGAAGACACATCCATCACTTCTCAATCAGCAAAATGCTCTTTTCTGTCATGTCCCCCTCCATGTTGTCTATTAGGCTCACTTTTTCATCATCTGGCATCAGGGTCTCTGGGTTCAGATGAAAGAATCCCCTATGAAAAAAAAGAGCAACAAAAAATTCTCAGGTGAACAAGTAACATCAATGATTTAATTTAAATGAGCAGATTTTCAAAGGATAGTACACCTAAAAATTAGAATTCGGTTGTCATTTACTCACAGAAGGTATTCGGAAGAAAGCTGTAACCGTTGACTTTCGTAGTATTTGTTTTTCCTACTATGAAAGTCAATTGTTTTAGGTTTTTTTCAAAATAACATCTTTTGATTTCAACAGTGAAAAGACACTTCTAAATGTTTGGAATCACTTGAGGGAGTGTAAATAATGAGTAATTTCCTATTTTTTTTTTCTCATTTTTGGGTGAACTATCCCTTAAAGCTGCTTCAGATCATTTAAATGTCATCCTTAAGTTTGTGCATTTGTTACTGAACCAGTGACATGGGTTCAGGTTGTACCTGTGTTCACAGGAAGGGAAAATCAGATCCAGGATCTTAATGACGACAGCAGAGCCTGCAACACCAACCACTACCACCCACATGACCAAGAAGAAGAGCGGCACCGAGTCTGACAAGAAGCGCCTCAGTTTATCCCTCAACTTTTCCACCCACTGACACGCCACCTGCACACATACAACTACACCTTACTGCTCTGTGGGAAAAGCAACACTGATGAGACATCCACACATGAGAGTCTGTAAGTAAAATCTGCATGCTTTTCTCCATAGGAAAACCTTTAAGACAGACTTTTTGTAAGCTCTGATATCTTAATATTTAACTCAAATGTTCATGATCTGCCCCCACTCCCGTGTCTCTCTTCCCAAGTTTAGACAGACAGATAAACCCTTTCCAACACGTATGTTTGTGGGAGCATGCTGCTTCAGAATAGAGTGAAACTATACAAAATATATGTTCATCCAATAAGCTTTATTTATCTCTATGTGCATAAAATTAATACATGGACTAAGAATATAAATTGTAAACAAATAATAAACTTACATACAACACTTCTACAGGTGATCACAGGATGAGTAAATTGCAAGCAAAGAATCACCTGAATCTAAGCTCTTTGTTGTAAATGTCTTTTTGGTGTTCTTTTTAAATTAAACTGAAACTAACTGTTAAAATGTTTCTATGGCAACAATAATTTAAATAAGCTAAATGACTAGGCATTCATTAATATTAAATAGATGATCCAGCACAGTTCACATTAGAAAATAATCACAATGCAGTGCTTGCATAGCAGCCATCACTAGAAAACAACAGTGATGCTTTATTTGTGTGTGTGTGTGCGCGTGCAAGTCATCATACACATTTAGAATATGAATATAAAGATTGAAAATACATGTATTTAAAATAAGCCTTTTACATGTGTAAACTGTGCAGCCATTTAAATCTTTTGGGCTTGAGACTGCTTGTCTCATTCACTTTCACATTTATTCTTAGATGTTAAAAACAGCTTGTTACGCTGCTTGATGTTGCAATTGCAACAAACTGCAATTATCTTATTCTACTTTGTCTGTATAGTTATGCAAACACTTGTTTGTAAAGTGAGCAGTTTAATCGTTTTCTGCTCTTTTTTTATCACTAGTCATTTCTCTCTTCCTAAGTTCTAAAACGATCACAAAAACGAGCATACTTTCTCAATTAAGAATAATATCAACAACTTAAAGTAAATAAAATCCCATTAACCTAAAACATTTCAATGGCAGTATAGACGCACACTTTTCCAAAAATATAATAACATGTACAGTTTTATTATTTTTTTTATTCATTTACATTTCTAAAAATCAAACTCTTTAAAAGTCTAGATTTACTGCACTCAGAATTATTTCAAGAGTTTTGTTTTAATTCTGACGGTTACAAATTACAGCTTAGGAAAATAAGAAATGTAGTATCTCAAAACAATAAAATGTTGCGTTTAATTAGTTGGATATATACTGTTTGTTCAAAACAATGAACCACAATTATAGGCTTAATACAGCCTGGACTGTTGTCCACAATTGAACATACTTTGGAGATCTTGAACATTTTTGTTTTGTAGAACTATTTTTGATTAATCAAAATATTATTTTATTTTTGTTGTTGAAATACTTAATTCTTAATTTTCCAAAGCTGTAAGTGTTAGTAACTAGAATAAAAAAATCTTGAAATATTTCACTTTGTGTGTAATGTGTTCTGTATACACACCTCTATAGACCATGCCATTGGCCCATAAACATTTCCTGCTTGTTATCAAACTATTTCATAAATGAAGCAATTAACAAGAAGCAATTCAATAATAACTTAACGTTAAAACTGCTATCATGACATTATTTATCAATATGTGACTCTGTTTGGATTCTCAGAAGCTATAGAAATTTCATCAAAATGGTCTATATACTTACACTGTATGAGGACATGGACCCACTTAAAGGAGGCTCAAGCAGCAAGGAATCTGAACGCCTTTCCTCTTCCTCTCTGGACTCATACAGCGTTTCCGGGTCCATCCGCAGGGGGGTTTCAGGAAGTTTCCCTGGAGCTGCGATCTCCTCCTGGGTGGTTTCTGAGTTTTTGAGCAGATAATGGCTGGTGGTGTTTCGCACTTGGTCTTCAACTATTTAAGACAAGGAACAATTATATTATCTTTCAAGTTAAAACACCAAAGCTAGATCATCAGAGATCATGACTTCAAGCCACATAACCTACCTGCACTCTGTACAGATGCATCGGTCACCAATACGTCATTCTCTCTTGGAATAATGGAGAGTTTGCTTCTTGCTGAAGGGTAAATGCTGGTGACCTGTGTCATCTGTTCTGAGCTCTGATTCCACATGATCTCTACCTCTGATATTTCTGGCTGCTGGACCTACAGAAGCAGGAACATCAAGTGCTTGATCATATTCAGTCTACAGGCTGCTTTCTCTCAACAGCATAACAATCCACTGTGAAAGACATACAGCTATGGCAACAATTAAAGACCTCTTGAAAATGTTCAGTTTCTCAGCATTTTAGACAACAAAATAATAATAGACTTTATATAAATGAAAAAATCAATATTTGGTGAAATAACTGATTAATAATTACAAAAAATATTACAACACTTACTATGCTTACCAACTGACCAAAACAAACACCTCTAAAACACAATTTTGTTTTGAAATTTGATAAACTCAAACTTAAAGTGATGGTTCTCCCCAAAATGAAACGTTACTCACCCTCGGGTGGTTCCAATTTCTTCCAAACCTTTGTGGATCTCTTTTGAAGACCAAAGAAATTTTGAAGAAAGCTGAAAATCTTCAACCATTGCCTTCCAAAGTAGCAAAACAAATATTATGGAAGTCAATGGTTACAGAACTTCAGCTTTCTTCAAATTTTTATTTTTATTTTGAGTTTTTCAGAAAAAAAAGTCAAGCAGGTTTGGGACAAGGAAAAGTAAATATTAACAGAATTGTCATTTTGGGTGAACTATCCTTTTAATAACCCCAGTATATCCGGAGAAACTGCCAATTTTTAAGAAGTCTCTAAAGTTTTATTTTTCATAGCTATGCATGTAAGAGAATTCAGTAATGCGAGTCATCATCATTCCTAAGATAAAGGTTAAAACCTTCTCATCTGCCAGCTGTATTATTTCCTGGCTCAGGACGAGGAACAGAAGCTGTTCTGCAGCATCACTCTGAACATATGACTGATTCACCATCAGCCGCAGCTCACAGCTAACCAAGCCATCCACTGAATTACCAGAGCTCACATTATAACCATCCACTGCAAACACAGAACACATACATACTGTAAGTTACAGTTTGTATTACTATTTGTTAATGCTAATTATTACAAACACAGCCCTTTATTATTAGCTTGGGTTATCTCAGGTCAAGGCGAAAAGGGTTTAAGCATCAAAACAATAAGAGTGGAATATTAATAATTGATGATTTAAACCATATTTTGCCAACATGCTTTAAATCCCTAAATTTTTTTCCTGTCTGTCAGCAGACGTGCATTAAAATGATATATATATATATATATATATATATATATTTTTTTTTTTTTTTTTGTATGTTTATTTATTGTTTCCTATACAAGTACCTAACAAGTACGGGTCAGGATAAAGTCATTGACCAACATTTTATTAATTCACAATACATGTAGAAATAAACATTAATTAAGAGTTTAGAAGTTTTAGATATTTTAAGATGCTTTTCAGTATACCATAAGTAACATACACAGATGGGACATTACTAAGTGTTAACAAGAAAAGAAAAAAACAGTCATATGATTGGTCGCTCTTTCTCTTGACTGCACTTTAAATACATGAATACAATTGATTAATATTTAAGAAAGACAGTAAAACTAATAGTCCTACACAGCAGAGCAGGACATGTCATCCTCGTGACTCCTGAAGGCTTGAGAGGAGCTCCGTTAATAAATATGTCATTGTCCAGAAGACCAATATTCAAATTAATCTGAAATACAGAATGATAAATCATATTATCTCTTCGTTACAACACATTATGGTTATGGTTAAATGTTTCCAAAAATGTAATTAATTTACATTTATCTCACCTGTACGTTGTACTTAGTCTGGTTAATTTCACTGAGCGCTGTAACGTTTAACACGACGGTTTCCTGCAAAATAAACCACATATAAAACGCCTTTGTTTACATGGTTGCTGACAGTCTTGTCCTTAAGTTTTCAAAGCTGCAGCTCACTGTTTGATGTAAATGAATCTGAATAAGACACAAATGATTTACTTAAGCGTGTCACAAGCAAATAATTCATGAACAATTTTCAATTAATCAAATAAACATCTAATAACTTGGCAGATATAGACCGGATAAGCCACTTACCGTTGTCATTTGTTTTGATTGAGCACTGGCTAGAATACACAGGATGAGCAAATAAGCCACTGTTAAATGTATTTTGCACCTAGACGCCATTTTTTATCAGCCTAGTTAACAACAAGACGGGAATCAAAATACGCGCATGACGTACTGTGCGTCCTGTGTCGTAACTGCGGAAATTCCTTTTTGACGTAATGCAGATTTGTAACTCTCGCGCCCCTCTGTGTGCCTTCTGAGACATTACAGGGATATTGACAGAACTGAAGTCTAAAGAGATAAATCTACATCAGGGGTGCTCAAACTTTTTCATTTAAATGGACAAAAACCAAACTTGATTGAGGGCTGTGGGCCGAAGTTAAATATACCAAACTGTATTGCATTAAAGATGCCATGGGTTATTAATAGTATTTAAAAATAACTAGAAAACATGCTTTATATTAACTACTAATGCAGTATATATATATATATATATATATATATATATATATATATATATATATATATATATATATGAAGAGTTCTGATGCAAAAACCTCTAAGTGCTGTCTGACATTTCCATTGAAATTAGCATTAATCTCAGACTCCTATGTTTATGTTGAGTTATTTCATTTCAAGACCTTTAAAAGTGTGTATTTGCCATAAACTTGAAATTACTGAACCTACAGACAGGAGCCTGATAAAAATGCACATTTTTGAAGGACATTTTAAATGGCTCTTGGAGGTTTTTGCATCTGAACTCTTCTTCAGTTCTCGGAACTATTCAGATTCATCTACAACATTTAATGGAAACATTTCATTTCAGTTTGCTTTTTTTGTTGCTCACTAATAAAACAAACAAAAAAGATGAAATTATATATTAAATAACAATCTCTGTTAAACTCATTTGTCTCAACCCTCCCCATCACTCTATTCTCAGATTGGATGGTGGGTCAAATCAAAGGTTACCATAGATGTCAAACTCAATTCCTGGAGGGCCGCAGCCCTGCACAGTTTATTTCCAACCCTAATTAAACACACCGGATCAAACTACTGAGCCCTTCAGGCTTGTTTGAAACCTACAGGTAAATGTGTTGGAGCAGGGTTGGAACCAAACTGTGCAGGGCTGCGGCCCTCCGGGAATTGAGTTTGACATCCTTGCGGCCAATTTTGGCCCACGGGCCCTATTTGGGCATCTCTGATCTACATGAACCTGACGAGTGTTTGACAGTGAGTTCGTCAGTAACATCTACAACAGTCAACATATGAAGTGGATCAAAAATGTTTTTCAAAATTGTCCTAGGAAAATAACGGGTGTTCTATGTATAGTTTTATGACAACTTTGTTGTGAGCAATAGTCAACATCTGAAGTGGATCACCAGCTTTCATCAATTATAAAATAGAATTCATTAAAAAAAAAAAGAATAAAGAAATAAGAATTTACACTTTCTAGCAATTTTATTTTTAATTAGCCTAAATTTAATGTTCATATGTTGATTTTTATAATTAGATTTTCCTTAATAATTGTACTGGCAATTTTTTGGCTGCCAATTGAATCAAAAGAATCATTCTTTGTAAAACAGTCATAGCTCAGTGTTTTCAACCAAACCATGTAGCAACTTCATTAACATGTAAATGTTAAAATAAAATATAGGGGCGTCACGATACGTGGCGCAGAGGGTAGCACGATCGCCTCACAGAAAGCAGGTCACTGGTTTGACCCTCAGTTGGGTCAGTTGGCATTTCTGTGTGGAGTTTGCATGTTCTCCCCATGTTTGCGTGGGTATCCTCTGGGTGCTCCAGTTTCCCCCACTGTCCAAGGACATGTGGTATAGGTGAATTGGGTAGGCTAAGAGGTGTGTGTGTGTGTGTGTGTGTGTGTGTGTGTGTGTGTGTGTGTGTGTGTGTGTGTGTGTGTGTGTGTGTGTGTGTGTGTGTGTGTGTGTGTGTGTGTGTGTGTGTGTGTGTGTGTGTGTGTGTGTGTGTGTGTGTGTGTGTGTGTGTGTGTGTGTATGGATGTTTCCCAGTGATGGGTTGCAGCTGGAAGGACTAAGCCAAAATGAATTAATTAATCAATGTTAAAGTAAACCACCCAATGCAATCATATCTAAGTAAATATTTAATTATATGTTTTCATGTGAAAAGATAACACTTTGCTAGTAGGTAAAAGTAAAATCCCTGTGGGAGTCCTTCATGTGACCTGTAGAATTTGTACATTTTCCTTTCTACTGGAGTCCTATACACAAAATTTGTATTATACATTTAATCACTTGCAGTGGGGTGTTTGCTTATTCTATGGGTTAAAAATTTAACATATTACATCATTTATATTAATATGGTTGCGTTTACTGTAACCAAAATTATATTCTACTAATGATTAAACTGCTATAGGGTGATGAAAAGGTTTAAGGATATTTTTTTAATGTGAGGAAAGGTTGTCTGTGTGACATACTGGCAGGACTTGCTATGATTGTTGCCAAAGAATAACGAGAATGATGTAATCTTCAGAAGAATGTCAGTCAATAATGATTTATTCAGATTTCTTTAATTTTAATGTTAATTTTTTTTAAATATCCTCATTTTAAAAATAATTTTCACAAGTTTGGGGAATATCTCTGCCAGAATCATTCTGCATTTGCCACAATGACCTATATTAAAATCATTGTTTAAATCTGTGATTTGCCTGCATCAGTCACATTGTTAACTAGACAGCTTACAGCAGTTATATGCAAGACATGTATAAGTACAGTAAATACACATCAGGATTTAATACACCTGGACACTTTCATGTTAATCTACATTAACTGACAATAGATTTGTTTATCCCTGTTTGAATACCTGACAACCTTGCCTGAGACTGAATAACATCTTTATCAGTTCCTGTGGTTGTGCTTTCCATCAGAACATCAGATTTCCTTCAGATGAAGACCTGTCTTCGGAGTATTTTCTTAATCCAAGCTCTTTATGTCATTCATGTACAGTATAGCTATTTTCAATACTCAGTTTTTCCATACTCATTGAACAATGCTGATTTTCTGCTGATTTAGCCACCCGAGTTAGACAAAATTTCCCTTGTTTGTGGGTTTGTTGTGTAATCTCATACATTAAAAAAAGGAACAAGTGTGGAAACACTGATCTAATACAACGCTCTGAAGCACCAACAGTCGAACACTAAGTTCATGCCAACAATATAATTGTTTATTTCATCTAGGACTGAATTTCTGGCCACACTCTTTGTGGATATTTCAGTGGATATTTCAGTGATCAGGGGTTATTGAAAGAACAATATGAACCATTGATGCCCACAAACAATCTTGCTGGCATGATGGAAAAATACCATCAAAGAAACTAAACAGGGAGAATAACCACTAACAGGAACCAAAGAATTAAGACACACAGCGTCCACTGGTATATATCATAGTGCCAGGCATCAGTAAATGTGAACCAGTCATGAAGAGCGGCAGTTTTTTTCTCTTTATGCTTCAATTAAGCACTGGTGAGTTCAGATTTGTTATTTTAAATCAAATTAAGAAATAAAATGTCATGCTATATGTTTTATATTGTAAACAATTATTAATGGTGGGTGATTAATTAAATAATTAATATGATTCTGTTCAATCACATTAAAAACACACCCAGATGAGAACCTCTAAGGCTGTATTTATAATTATATCTTTTTCCAGTAAAGTTGGAAATAAGCTCTCTTGTTTGCAGGTTGTATTCTTACAGATGAGAAGCAGACAAAAACAATCTCAGGATACAGCGGTGGTTCAGTGCTTCTGCCCTGCTCCTGTGCTCAACCTCAGTCTACAATCCACACATTCAGCTGGCAGTTTTACAGCAGTGATACTCGATGGATTCAAGTGCTTGAGGATCAGAAATACAGAGGCAGAGTTACACTGTTTAATCACATTTCTCCAACAAATCTGTCATTGCTCATTTCTGGTCTCAGAAAGGAAGATGGAGGCTATTATTCCTGCATGTCTACACCAAATCTTGTGTATTTTAACTTGGCAGTTTTAGGTAAGTGAATACATCTTGAAATATGAATATACCCATAAAAGTTTTCTTTTAACTAAAACTTGACTATATACTTTATATATTTCTTAAAGCTCTGAAATTGTTGTAGCTGGTATGAGCAATAAATGTACTTTTGAAGGAATAAATAAATCATTTTGAATATAATGTTTCAATGTCTTATGACAAGATGTCAATTTGTACTTATTTAAGCTATTGCGACCAAATGTAAAATCTTTAACCAAGATAATATCCAAGAAGACAATAACTTTGTATGTCAGGCAGGTCTGAGTAAAATGCATGTATTCAAATTGCAAGAAGAACATGTTAATTTTCCCTCAAGCCATTCAACTGTACAGTCAGGTTTAAACCATGTGAAAGAGACAGTACTGTATGTTTTTCTGTTTTCATTGTTAAACCACTACAACTGTTTACTTCTCAACAGAGACACCACACATGCCTATAAGCATGCCAAAACAGGATGTTATAGTGCCTGCACGACCAATTTCACCTCGATACATTCCTCAACGTAAGTCTAAGATATATTTAGCTTTTAAAGGGCAGTTGGATGCTTTATTCTGATTGGCTGAAAAATGTTTGAAGGTGTGCAATTATTTTCAGGGAATCTAAAAATGCAAAACTTGTTTCAGGCAGATCTTTTTATTACATTTTCCATGTTTGAGGATAAGAAGTACAATGACAGACTTCTTTTCTGGCCTTAAAATGGAAGATGGAGGGTATTATTTCTGTCCAGTGCAGTAAATATTTTGTAAATTAACTTGTAAGTCTTAGCTCTCAGGTATAAGTCTGAAAATATGAATGTACACATAAAGTTATCTTCTATTTAAAAAGTCAAATTCTAGCAGGTTAAAAAGTGTATAATAAAATGGCTTTTTAATTGGTCGTTTTAGCTGGTCAACAGTGACCTTGCCCTTTTCATATTCTTGAAGCTAAAGTGTTGTTACTGTTTTGAGCAAGAAACTCTTTTTGCAAAAATACAATTTTAATTAAAGTGGATCAATGTTTTGTGACCAGATCAGATTTATGTTGTAATTTTGCTGATTTCTAATGGTGACTATTTTGACCAAGAATACAACTTAATTTAATCAACATAATAGGAGACGATGGTTTTTGTGTCAGGAAGGTCTAAGTAAAATGCATGTATTCAAATTGCAAGAATAAACGAACATACTAATTTGGCCCTCAAGCCAATGTCATTCCTCCTGGAAATCACTTGCTTGGGAAAGGTTTTAAAACCTGGTTAAGGTATGCTTTTCATTTCTAATGTGAAACCACCACTGACGATTTGTTATTTCTCAGCAGAAACACCAATGATCAACTTACCAAGACAAGACGCTAGACCAGTTTTTCCTCAATACACACAACGTAAGTCTTAAGATGTGTTTTGGTTTTCACTACAGTGCAGTTGGAGGTTTTATTTTGTTATTTTCAGGCAACATGTTCCAGACAGGTCTTGACACCATTGCTAAGACGAATGATTACAATTATTTCAACAGCAAAGATAAATAAATAAAATACACAAAGACACTGACCAAGCAAATTAATATTCTATATTTAATATTCTAATTAATATTCTAAATATATATAAGCTGTCGCCTCATAGCAAGAAGGTCGCTGGTTCGAACCTCAGCTCAGTTGGCGTTTCTGTGTGGAGTTTGCATGTTCTCCCTGCCTTCGCATGGGTTTCCTCGAGGTGCTCCAGTTTCCCCCACAGTCCAAAGACATGTGGTACAGGTAAATTGGGTAGTCCGTAGTGTATGAGAGAGTGTGTGTGTGGATGTTTCCCAGAGAAGGGTTGCAGCTGGAAGGGCATCCGCTGCATAAAAACTTGCTGGATAAGTTGGCGGTTCATTCCACTGTGGCGACCCCAGATTAATAAAGGGACTAAGCCAACAAAAAAATTTAATGAATATATATATATTTATATATATATATATATGTGTATATATATATATATATATATATATATATATATATATATATATATATATATATATATATATATATGTGTGTGTGTGTGTGTGTGTATATATATATATATATATATATATATATATATATATATATATATATATATATATATATATATATATATATATATATAAATGGACTTGTATAAAAATTGGATAAAGAAGACAAAAAAATTTTTTCAAAACGTTTTGTCAACTTTTTGCCTTTTTTGTGGTCCAAATGTTTTCACATTTGACTTAGATTAGTAGCATAAATGATTTTTCACTATGGGTACTACAATGTTGATGTTGCAATAGGTTGAAATCTTTTTAACGCAGTTTAAACTGGTGTTATTTGTGTAAATTTGTCTTTAGAGTGTGATCTGGTCAATAAAGAAAGTAAAACTGGTGTGACTGGATATTCAGGAGAGTCTGTTGTTCTACCCTGCTGGTGCACTAACCTACTGTCCAGACCTGAACACATACAATGGATGTACTGGACAGAGAATGGCTATAAAGAAATTTACCCAAATGAAGAGGTTGAGAGTCACAAGAACAGAGTGAAACTGTTAAATCAAAACACTCCAGGAAATCTGTCTCTGCTCATATCAGCACTGACCATAAAACACCAAGGAACCTACTACTGTACTGTTCTGCCTCAACAACATGTCTACTTCACACTTAATGTTAAAGGTAATTTTCTTTGTGTTTTTATTTAATTTGACTATTTATTACATATTATAAAATATGTTTTGATAATACAAACATGTTTTACAGTGGTATTTATAGCTGAATATAACAGATTATTCTCCTCTCAACAGAGAAACCACAAGTTTATCCAACCAGTTCTTCAACACATAGATCTTCACACCAAACACAAGAACTTCCACCACCCCAACAAACACATCACACACCTCTGTGTAAGTCACAGGCTTGATTATCAACTGTGATGATTATGATTGTGTATTTTTCTCATGAACGTGTTACAGCATGTGTATTTCTCCACAGATGTTTTTATTCTAGTGGCAGTGTTTACTTCAGTTGTGTTACTGGCATTTCTGGCGTTGTCTACTAGATATGCAAAGGTAAATGAACACTCATGTCTTCTATCATTAAATTAGCTGTTGTACAAAAGTGAGCAGGAGTTTATTATTAATCTGTTTAAATACTTTATTTTACTTGAGATTACGTTTGGATTGCCAGTATGTTCTCAGAAAGCTGTCACAAGGGGGGTATTATATTGATACCTCTACGCTAGTAACTCTCAGCTTTTGTTTTTGCTCATGGCAAGATATTGCACTATTTACATGTAATGCTTTGTGTATAATTTTACATCTGGGTAATACATGATATTTTCCCTTTTTCTCCAGACAGCAGTGGCAAATTCTGCTGCAGTCTATGTTGAAACGGCACCCATTCCAGCTCACAGACGGAATGATCAAGCAGAGCGCACTGTGTATGTCAATTCCAGTGCAACACATACTTGAAAACATTTTTAATATCCTCAGAATTTATGTTTAGACTAAACGATGAACTAATTAGACTTGTAATTGAGCTTATGACCTTTGCAATTATGGTACACTATGAACAATAAAAATTTTTAATACATCATAAATGATAAAACAGGTGAGTGTATTTGCGTGACATCTGATAACTGAACAAAAGCATAATGTCTGCTATTACGATCTGCTTACTGGTAAACTAATATAAACAATCATAACTAATCACTATCATGCAAATTTAAAAAGAAAACGAATGAGCTTGTAAACAAGTTAAATATGGAAGATTTTTTTCTTTGTCATTGTGCATTTTTGTATTCATTCATTCATTCATTCATTCATTCATTTTCTTGTTGGCTTATGCCCTTTATTAATCCGGGGTTGCCACAGTGGAATGAAACGCCAAATTGTCCAGCACATTTTTACGCAGTGGATGCCCTTCCAGCCGCAACCCATCTCTGGGAAACATCCACACACACACTCATACACTACGGACAATTTAGCCTACCCAATTCACCTGTACCACATGTCTTTGGACTGTGGAGGAAACCGGAGCACCATGAGGAAACCCACACGAACGCAGGGAGAACATGCAAACTCCACACAGAGACGTCAACTGAGCCGAAGCTCGAACCAGTGACCCAGCGACCTTCTTGCTGTGAGGTGACAGCACTACCTACTGCCCCACTGCTTCGCCCATTTTTGTATCAATAAAAATCAAAAAGTTGTTGGCGCCAATAACCTAGTGGTTTGATTGTTGACACATAGCACTAAGGTGCTCATGGTGACCTGAGTTGAGACCTGAGACATGATGAGACCTGAGGTCCTTTGCCGATCCTTCCCATCTCTAATAAATAAAAGTAAAATAGTTTTGGCAATTAAAGGACTTGCATTGAATCATTGTTTATTATGGCATAACCATTATCAAATTTGATTTGTTGTTCATAAAATGCTTTGCATGGATTCAGTGTTTACTGATTAATGTGCTGAATTTTTATTCTCATATCAATTAGCTATTCTTAAAATGCTTGAAGATTAGTTTGATTTGTGATGTAGATGCAATCAGAATTATTAAACCCCCTTTGATTTTTTTTCTTTTTTTCTTTTTTAATATTTCCTAAATGATGTTTAACAGAGCATGGGAGTTTTCACAGTATGTCTGATAATATTTGTTTCTTCTGGAGAAAGTCTTATTTGTTTTATTTGTTAAATTAAAAGCATAATAATTCAGGTGGTTTAATGATTCTGATTGCAACTGTAATTTTAACTTTAATATGAATACAGGGCAAAGGAAATTTAGAAGAATATACATTTATGGTATAGTTCGTCCAAAAATGAAAGATCTGTTATCATTTACTTATCCTCGGGTTGTTCCGACCCCTTATAAGCTTCTTTTCAGTGTTCTGGTAAACACAAAGGAAGATTTCTGGAAGAATGTCAAAAACAAACTGTTCTCGACACCCATTACTTTCATATTATTGTATTTGTTTTATCTAGTATGGCAGATCTGCTTAGTTACTGCCAATCCTCCAAACATCATCCTTTCTGTTCAGCAGTACAAATCAATGTATCTGGGGTTGGAACAACATGGGGATAAGTAAATAGCCGCTTTTCCACTATCGTGCTGAATCGTTCTTTAAACAGAACTGTTCCATTCCGTGCCAAACCGGGCCAGACAGCACGGATACGGTTTCATTTTCCACTGTCGTGCTGCGACAAAGCTCTTTAAAACACTACACAAAACGCATCAGTAGTTGCCTTGGTAACGCAATGTAAACGGCTCCCTTTATTCAATTAAAGTTAAACAAGAGCCGAAACTATTTTTTTTCATAAAAGCAAAAGCAACCATGTGACTAAACACTGTTATGCCGCTCTATCAAATAGGGGTGCTAAATGTGCACCCTTATTTATTTATATGTTGCGCAGCTCTGGCTAAATTTTATTTGGAGGGAAAATTACCAAAATGTAACGTGATGATTGAAAATAATTGGAGGGGAAATAAATAATATTTAAAATCTCTGAACATAACAGAAAAATAAACAATGATAAGACAACAATAATAATGCATTTGCATTATAGTGGCAGAAATATAATTTTGGACAGGCCTTGTCAAAGGTGAGCGGGCACTTTCACTAATAAAAACACAGCACATAAATTATTTCATTTTTAACAATTAATTAAATTACACTGCGTTTTTATATCAAAAGTTGATAATGATATAAAATATACTACATTTTGATTGTAAAATGAAACCAATTAAGCGCTGGTTGTTATTTGTTTTACTATTCAAACATTAAACAACGAATGCTGCAAGTGAAAAAAACGAATATGAAACAACACATATATTGCAGGATTTAAAGCATATAAAGCACTATTATATTTAGCAAAATGCTGCTCTATTATCTTTTTATTTTAATCATTTTATTTTTATTATTATAATAATTGTGTTCATAATTAACTAACAAGCTGTAGGCGAATTATTGCTAGACGTTTTAGAAAATATTTGCGTAGCTATATTAAAGATCACCACAAAAAAACAAAAACACAGAAACATGTTACATAACATGCCTCATAAATGTCATATAACTTATGTAAAACTGAATCATATAATTGCCTATAGCTGAAATGATGAAAATTGCTCATTTTATTTTTATAAAACATTTGTCAAAACGTAGCTATTGATATTTTTTGAGTAAAAGCAATACTGACATTTAAGAATCCATATTTATTTAATTCATTCATTCTTTTGAATTGTTTATTAGTGCATATGCTGTAATATAAATCATACAACAGTACCTTGGACAGTTACAGTGCCGCTCCGTAAAGCTTTCAAGCAAAGTCTTTTGGACGGCCGACATTACAACACGAACACGCCGTCCTTCAGGTGGTCTCGCCGGTATTACAAGCTGTCCTGGCTTTGAATTAAAAAGTGCAATTATTTCCTCGTTGTTAAAAGAGTCTGCAAGTTCGTGTTCCATGGATATAGTTATGTTGTTGTGGAATTTGGACATCGACGAGGCCAAGCGTGACTTTATTCGCTTTATTCGATGCGCAGCAGGAAAAAAAAGTCAGCAGCGCAAGTCGCTGGCATGTCTCTCCCGGATCAGAGCGAGTTTTGTGCTGTGAAATACAGCGCTGCGTGCAATAAACTCACTTTCAGGCAGGCGAAGTAGGTCTGTATTCAAGTCAATAAAATAATAACTTTAATGAATAAAATATCTTCGTAAGAATGCTGAGTTATTCACTTCTCTGCCAGAGACTGCTCTATGGTTTAAAAACCCTTTTCAAACTGTATCGTTTAGACCTGGATCATTATTTTATAATAAATGTACTGTAGTTTATTGAGGATGTCTGATGACTAGCGCGCTTCTGCTGAGCCAGCTGTGGTAGCTTAGCAACCGAGTCGCGACGTCAACACACAGAATCTGTCAGCACAGTTCAGCACGGTTGTCAAACCGTGCCGAGAATTCCGGGCCGAGAACGGTTTGTAATCGTGCCGCGCCGTTCCAGGCTCAGTGGAGAAACACGATTGGATTGGCACGATAGTGGAAAAGCAGCTAATGATGACAGAATTAAAATTTTGGGGGGGAACTATCTCTTTAGGTTTTTTTGGGGGGAACTATCTCTTTAGGTTCTTTTGGTCTTTTTTTAAGTACATGAAAGTATACTTTTAAGTGCACTAAAGATATAACAGCAGTAAACTTTAAGTGCACGAGTAGTCTATAAGTGAGGTTTATTCATAAACTAATTTTGAGAGGATCACGTGCTTATGATTTATCATGGCCGGTCCTGTATTTGGCTAATCACTATCTTTCAATCATATAAGCCCTAAGCTACTATAAATAACCACAGTTTCCAGCTCATTTTATCTTCGTTTGGAAGAAACCCCCCTCCTCCACTATTCTCCTCCTTTACCTCCAATTGGGCGGCACGGCGGCCCAGTAGTTAGCACTGCGAGCCCCACAGCAAGAACACTGCCGGCCCCGGTCCCTTAGGGCCGGTAGGTGTTCCTGTGAGGAGTTTGTATTCTTTTTTCTTTTTGTATAGTTTGTGTTCTCCCCGTGTCTGCGTGGGTTTTTCCCGGGCTCTCCAGTTTCCTCCCACCATCCAAAAACATTCAACACGTATAACAATTAAGCATTTGTCTAACCCCTCTGTTCCCTTAGCTACCGCAGTCGGGGAGTTCTGAGATCCACCGAGCTCAGGCTCCCCTCTTGCTCTGCCAACGGGAAGAAGCCCAGGCTCTGGGATCCCTTGAGCTCGGGGCTCTCTCCCGGGACAGCATGCCAAACAAGCTTTTATAAATCATCAGCTAAGTGTGAACTCTTGAATTAAGCTTTCATGTGTACTGCAGGTGAACTTATCAAAAGTTTACTTTTGTCAAATCTGTGACATTTAGGACACAAAAACATAATCCATCCTTGATAAAAGAGGAGCAAGAACACATCCTCGGATTTAAGCTGTATTTTTGGCTAGATGTGAACTTTCAATTGGACTTGTAAGTGATTTTTGTATGTGAGGTTTTAATTTATGAAATGACTTTGACTGGGGAGAGAGAGGCATACAAATTAAAGATGAAAAATGCAACTTAACACCTGCAGGGGTCACTTATACTTTATTATATAAATAAGTAAACTGTGCAATTTGCTGAAAGAAAGAAAAAATAGGCCCTTTGTATGTTTAGACTATTGATTTTTGTTTTTGTTTACATCAAATCATTCTATAATTATCAATATTGTGTAAACAACATAAATGCAAATGTTTGCAAGTATTCTTAGGATTAGGTTGTTTAATGGGAGTGAGTGTCAGACATAAGTAAAGTAGCATGTGTGTGAGTGAAATAAATACTTTAACAGTAGGTTATCTTTGTGCTCCTGCTGAGCGAGCATCAACTAAGAGCACTGCCAGAAAGTGAACCATTTAAATATTGCTTAAATAGATATAAACAAAAACCAGAGATGAGTCAAGCACAAAAAAAAAAAAAAAAAAAAAAGAAATGAGGAAGTTCATCAGGAAAACCAAAAATAAAAAAAACCACTGCACCCACATAACAACATTAAGTTGAAATTCATGAGCGAGAGTCAGACATGCGGGCACATTTACATCTTTTATTCATTATGCTTCATTTCAGCCGAGGTAAGTTATGATTTCATTCAGAAGAGGTCAACGTGAAATCAGTGTTTTTGCTGTACAATTTAATTAATGATATGTATAAAAAAGATTTCTTACTTAAAAGCACAGAAACTAATTGTCAGTTAAGAATGTAGGTGTCTGTTCACATTTGTAGAGTACTTTGAAGTGCATACAAATAAAGATAAATGAAAATATGTATTTGTGTATACAATCAAACATAAGTACAGATCAAAATATGAGCACAACTATATAAACAGACCATAATCAATTTACTTACTAATTATATATTTTAAAAAGCTTAATTTCTTTTCTTGCAGGTTGTGATGTTTCAGATGTGTCTCAGACTAAAGTAATATCAGGATACAGCGGTGGTTCAGTGCTTCTGCCCTGCTCCTGTGCTCAACCTCAGTCTACAGTCCACACATTCAGCTGGCAGTTTCAGCAAACTGTTAATACTTGGATTTCAGTATTTGAGAATCAGAAGTACAGAGACAGACTTGTGCTGTTTAATGAAAGTTCTCCAACAAACCTGTCTCTACTCATTTCAGACCTCAGAAAGACAGATGAAGGGTACTATAAGTGTCTGACTGAACAAAATACTCCTACATTTGTTCAGCTAACAGTTCAAGGTGAGTGCTTCTTTCTAAAATACTAGAGGTGTTGGAGAACAGACATTTGGCTTTTTCAGAAATTTAAAATAAAATTATTTTTAGAAAAATCCTACATTTTGCTAAATATGGCAAATATTATTTGTATTTACAGTGCAATGATTTTCTTGTGTTTAAAACATTTAAAGATACAAATTTTAATGCGGTTATTAAATCAGGCGTTTTTATTAAGCATTATATTTGCATGTGTTCAGGATGTGACTTGGTCAATACTGGAAAGACAGTGGAGTTGACTGGAAATTCAGGAGAGTCTGTGCTTCTGCCCTGCTCCTGCACTGAACTACTGACCAAACCTGAACACATACAATGGATGTATATGACAGAGAATAATTATAAAGAAATTTACCCAAAGGAAGAGGTTGAGAGTCACAAGAACAGAGTGAAACTGTTAAATCAAAACACTCCAGGAAATCTGTCTCTGCTCATATCAGCACTGACCATAAAACACCAAGGAACCTACTACTGTTCTGTCTCGCCTCAACAAATAGTCTATTTTATACTTACTGTTAAAGGTAAGTTTATTCTGTTTTAGATTGATAATTGTTTCTTCTGATATTTTAATTGCAAAATTGTTTAACAGTATAATATTATTCTCCTCTGAACAGAGAATCCATATACTCATCCAATTAGTTCAACAACACATGAACCTCCACACCACTTCACAAATCTTCCAGCAGCTCAGCCAGCACACAACACACTTCATTGTAAGTCAAAAGCTTGATTTGCTTTTCATTATACAACATTAATGTCAGTAACACTGCATTTTGTCTTCCTCTTTAAAGTGTTTATATTTCATCATTTATATTAAGCATGAAGCGTTTTACACTGAGGGTATAGATGGAACATTTGCAGCATTCTGAGGGGAAAATGTATTTGTAATGTAATTCCCTTTCTGTTTCCTCCACAGATGTTTTCATTCTTTTGGGAATATTTCTCTCAGTGCTGTTACTGACGTTACTAGTATTTATCTACTGGAGATGCAGAGGTACAGAAACAGACACAAGTTAACTTTACCTGAAGAAATGTCTACTGCTAATAGCGCAATTGTTGTAAAACACAGAATAACTAAAAAGAATATGCGTGTAGTGATCAGCCAGATTAAAGTTTTAGATTCTGTGTGTTTCAGGAGGCAGAACTGTGAAAAAGGAGATCACAAAGGAGTCCAATGATGGTGAAGCACTAAAGAAAGAACCAGACAGTCAGGTGAGTGTATATTCAGGGTTGCTTAATCATTAAATACTGTATTATCCTGATACATACAATGCTTTGTTCAATTCTTCAAATACTTATTTTATTATTTTTCTCTCCATGCAGGATGATGTGATGTATTCTACTGTAGTCTATGTTAAAACAGCTTCCAAAGAATCTGACACACAACATCATTAAGAAGAGCTCACTGAGTATGCTAGTATCAATGTGAAACAGTAAATTGTCTCATTTTGTTACTGAGTTTTGTGTATACTCAAAAAAAGTCAGAACTGTTTGTTGTTAGGAGCTGCTTTAGGTGGCTCAAGAAAACTTTTGTAAAGAAGTCTAGAAAACACATCATAAAACTCACACAAACCATATTAGCACTGCTTTAGGTAACATCACAAACTCAAGCTAAAAATATTGGATAAAAAAATAAGATTAAAATGTTTGTAAACTTTTGTTGCACTCTGAGGTCACCTAAAATGTTAACAAGATTTGGTTTACATAAAAACATAGCAAAAGCTAGAAAATAAATGAACAAAAAATATATATAAATTGTAATATATTATTGCACATACTCTTTGTATACTCTTTCTTTTTTTCCCAACACTTATTTGTCGCATTAATAAATAGGAAGTATTGTCACACTTAGCCAGGGGGTTCAGGTGGTTTGAAAGACCCACCCCACTACTGACAAAGTCCAGAATTTGGCCCCTATATGAGGTTATTTGTCTCATTTTTGACAGTATGCCATCATAAATTTAGAAAATAAGCGATAGAAGAAGACTTTAAGACAAGTTAAATTATTAATTATTCAAATAGAAAAATTCTTACTGAAGAAATGAGCTGGCCAGTCTGTTATTTGTCCACAGGCTACAGTTATTCATTTAAAACACGTTTTAACAGATTCCTAACTGTTTTTTTATTTATTTTTTGAATGATAATGTATAAGCATTTTAAACATTTTTTTTTCATATTTCTTTGTTCAAAAATGTTTATTTAAAACCAACCTCATTACATTATTTATACAACTGTAAAAACTTAATGCACATTTGTAAAAAAAATTGTTTTGTCAACATAGCATAGTAAGCACTTAGACAAAAATGTAAAAAATATTTTTGTTTCATTAAAAGGTGTGGTAATGATAACCATCCGACAAGCTAATCCAGCAAACATTAATGCTTAAAGTGTCACTAAAATGCAGTATTAGAACTGTAAAATTTCAAATAAAATGAGGCGAATAACTGCAAAAAGGTCCAATTCTCGAGGAGAAAAAAGAAGAACCCCTTTTAATAGGCAGGCTACAGGCCTGACTTCACACATTTTCTAACATGAACTAATAATTAACATTACACAATTATTAAACATATAATTAAACATCAGTGACTTTTTAGTTCAGGTCATTATTCACGCTATTAAACCATTAACTAACACAACTTGCTTAATAAACTATCAATCCTATTTATCATTAGTAGTAAGGTAAAAGTTGGGTTCAGGTTTTGGGTAAGATTAGGGATGCAGTTTAAGATCTTACTTTAAAACTACTAATGAACAGTTAATATCTTTAATAAGCCAGTAGCTAATAGCATGAGCTGTGACCTAAATTAAAGTAATGTTAGCCAAACATCAACTAATGCATTATTAAAATCCAAAGTTGTGATTGCTAATCCTAATTAACGTGAGCAAACATGAACTAACAATGAACAATGTTTTTATTAACCGTTAACAAAGATGAACGAATAATGTAACAAATACAATTTTTGTTAATGTTGGTAAATATGATCACTAACATTAGTGGAAACTCACTGTAAAGTTTTACTGAGGTAAACGCCCACTGCTATTATTGGCTAAATGTTAAAGGCGTATTAATATAATGAATAAAAAGTTTTGTTGTACTCTGAAAACAATATAGGCTTTGGGTTAAAATAAATATTCAGTACACATTTACTTATCTGTAACACAAAAAGCAATAATGACACAAGGTAAAACTGTGTCACACATGTGTGTTGCGTATCCACTATAGTCAGCACTGCATCTTCTTTCATTTTAAATCTGTCTAGAAAGCTTGTCAAACTCTGTCTTTTCTTTCTTTTTTTTGCTGTAAAATAAAGCAAACAAGTCAAGTGTCCTACACGGACACAATCTGGAATTTTGTTTGAAAAAATAAAGTTTATCCACTTTTTTGTTTTTATAATTCTACTATGTCTTCTACTGGTTTCATTTGCAACCACAAATGCCACATCTATACATAGATAGCTTAACAGCAGCTGTATAAGGGCTGTGGTACAAAGAATCACTCAAAAGCCTTCAGCAGTGATGTTTGTTGAAGGTAAAAGCCTTACCTAAAATAAATTATCAGCTTAAAAAATATAACAGTTGAATTAAAGCATATAAAAACAAACACACGCTCGCCTGTGGAAAAACATCATATTGTCCTTGACTAAAATCAACCAGATGTTATGGCATCTCTTTAGATTTTTGCTGAATGACAATGTGTTTGACTTTCAGAGATGAAATTCCAACGTTCTACATCTGCCATGTACTCAATATCACATGACCAACAAACTCTGTTGCATTAGGTCTAGACTAAATCTATGACTAGAAGTAGCGCATTCCGATAAAATAAATGTGTCCGACCCTTTCACACTTAATCATGTTTACAAGATAAGAGTTCTTTTTACTGCGTTACTTTTTGTCAATTCGTTTATGAATTGTGATTGAAGGCAGTTTAGTGTAGCGTTTCTTCTCAGTGATTCTGCTTGTCAACAGCCGATGTTCATCATTAATGCTCAACTAACATTTAATTGACATCCTATGATTTCCTCATAGAGATATTGAAGTGTCCAGTGAATGCACACTTCAGAATCTTGGCAAAGTTCCAAGTTATTTTACTATTTAGAATTTCAGATATTTTACTTGGGCCACAACTTTACCTTTCTTCCTTCCTCCCTTCCTTCTTTTCTTTCTTTCTTTCTTTCTTTCTTTCTTTCTTTCTCTTTCTTTCTTTCTTTCTTTCTTTCTTCCTTTCTTTCCTTCTGTACATACAGTACTTATAAAATGCAATTTCAGACGCACAGTATTTATGCACAACAATTAATTTTTAGATAAGCCTGTTTAAGTTTGGACTTCAAAAACAGGTGCAAAAAACATATTTGATGTGCGGTTTGCATTTCACTTCAAAATAAATCTAGTAATCCTTTTTTATTTCTTTCAATCAAGTGTACAATGCAGTGTTCAAAAATCAAGATCAGTTTGAGATGAGAAACAGTGATTAACTGAGCAAATAATGAGGAATTAAACACAGCCCACTGTGCAACTTTATTGCATGAGCATTTGCAGGAATGATGAAAATAGATTTGAGTTCTAAGGAAGCATGCAAGTATTTATGTGTGATGGGGAAGTGGTTTAGAAATGACGCTGATAAAAAAAAAAGATTAAAAAATAGCAGTAACAACCAGGAGCATAGCAACCGGGGGGATAAGGGGGTATACGCCCCCCTCACTTTTAAAGAGACCATTTAGAAACAGGAGATTAATAATTATATGAAGGTAAACTTTTGGATCTCATTTAGCTGTCCGCCCACTTTTAAAATGTCCAGTACTCCTCCGGTAACAACACTGCATTCAGAAGAGCTAGAGATTACTATTTTTAGTCTGATGCGTTTAAATTGCCTCTTGCATCTAACCATCCATCACACAGCAAATATACTCTCTATATCTCAATTCACTCACAACAGTAGTCCAAAACAGGTTTTATAAAAATGACTTTATTTTATACCCCTCACATCTAACACACACTTGAATGAGCTGAAATCAAATGTTCAATTTTCTTCTGACTAATATCCCATTTACTGACTTTAAGATCTTGACAAGTGAACAAGTGTCAACTTTAAACATGCTTGATTCAAGCAGTGAAATGCTCCTCATGTGGAAAGTTTAATCTAGAGTCGGCTCATGTCGGGAGCTCCATGAATAGAGCCAAAACCAGTAATCTAAAACAGAGAACAATTGTTCAACTCAGTGGTTGGATAAACTAATACAATAGTAATACACAAACCGAAGGCCATCTTACTAGTTGTAAAGGCATCATCAAGACAACAATTAAAGATCTCCCAAATGAACCAGCGTTTTAATGGGGCAATAATTATATCTAACAATACTCTATTTAAAAAAAAAAGATTTTGTGCTTTCAACATAATAATAATATTAATAAAAACATTTGATCTACTGTATGAAGCATAGAAATACACAAACACCATCACTTTCAAGTATACAAAACATGAAATGTCACATAAAATACAGCAGACAACAGACCCGACTTTAAGAGAAGCAACGTTTTGTGGATTTGGAGTTAAACAACACTTTTAAAGACCATTTTTAGTCAATCATATGAAATCAGCCAGGTTGTAATGTTACATAAAGGCTATTTTTTAATCATCAATCAAAAATATTTTGGGAGCTCACGCATAGACCAATGTATCATTCTGAAACGAAAGCAGTTATAAATACCAGAGAGGGAACAAACACATGCGCACATTGGCATCATCATTGTAGGATCCTGCACTTTTACTAAGGGTGACTGTTCCCGATCGTAATGACAATTAGTAATATTGGATTCAAAGTCTGAGTGTAATCTTTAAAAACTAACAATCAGTCATCCTTCATTCCATCAGTCAGCGTAGCTATAATAGCCTTTACAAACACACAACAACCAATCAGAATGGGAGGCCTGTGGTGTCTTCACTCCTCATCAAATGACTTCAATATGAAAGCTAAAGTGAAGCAACCTTTCTGAATTCATTCTGCTGTTCATCTGGTATTGATTGTTGATTTATTTCAAGCAAATGTCCATCAGTGACATAACTCAGACTCTACAGGCATTCGACCAGTCGGCTCACATAACAAACCTTCCCTCAAAAACTACAAAGCAAAAATAAGTTAAATGTTTTTCAGGTGGAAAGAAATTCATATTGTTCTCGTCATGACTCAGATCAGCTTTGCTTTGCTTATATACAGTAAAGTGAGACAGTACAAGGCACACATTAAATGTCTTTGAAATGTTACAGATGCATAAATTAACGGATCCTATCACAACTTCATCTACTGAGCTAGAAATAGGGCACCTACTACGAAAACTCTGCCGCTTTGAAGTGTTTGGGGAAAGGGGGTTTTGATCTAATGCTAAAGGACTAGGACTGGTCTGAGATTTTCATAAGACTGTGGTTAAATCCATGCAGCTGATGAAGCAAAACTCCAGCAGTTGAGTTTCAGACCACTGCTCAGCGAATGAAGGCTTAAGTTCAGTGTGGGGTTTTCAGTGATGGAGAATTTGATATCTAAATATTAGTTGCTGTGTGTACGTTAGATACTGTCAACAAAGCTGCCAGGAAACAGCCCGGTTCTGCCGTTTCTCTGTAGTGTTCCTTTAAACCAGCCGTCCTCTCGTTTTTTGTGCACAAATACAATGTCTCCCTCTTTGAGTTCCAGCTCTGCTTCACTTTGGGGAGGATAGGACACCACCACACGATACCTGGAGGAAGAGGAACAGAACATGATTAGAAAAAAATGAACAAAGAAATCAAGTGAACTTCTTTTGTATTTAATATTGTGTTGTATCAGAATTATCTGTGAGTGTTTTTATTATTATGTATGTGCTTTTGTAATCTTAAACCTTCTTATCTCTGATAATGCATTTGTAAAGGCAGGGAAACCACTTACTAACATTCACCAAATGCAAACTACCATTTAAACAATTGCCATCTAGCCCAACATTTTTTTCATATAGTTTTACCTGTCACACTATAGAGTAAAACACAACTGCAACTTCTGCTTCTTACTTAACTTAAAGCACTTCTTTTCTAGGGAATCAGGATGTACAAATATTTTTTACAGCAGATGAAGTTGTGATGGGCAGATTTGGGGGTAACGCATTACAAGTAACATGTGTTCCATAAAAACTAAGTAATAATATTTAGATACTTAAAAAAAAAGTAAAGCGAGTTACTTTTTATTTTAGTTAAATCACTTTCAAAAAATAAACTGCTGAATTAAAATAAACCTAGTCATGTTGAATCCCGCATGTAATTAAGAAAATGCAGGAACAGGCAGAAAGGAAGACGTCAGAGCAATACATTTCAGCGAAGAAACATTCTCATTATTTTGATCACAAGAAGGAAACGAGGATTATCTGAATGAACAGTGACTTTAATTTTTATTTTAAGTATAAAAGTAGCAAACGCATTGCTTTAAACCTTCTTTAATCTGTGTATGAATACAATATTAAGTTAATAATCTAACTCAATATTGTAATGTATTACTTTCTAAAGTAACTTTTCCCAACACTGGTGATAGGATTCACAACTTTATGCATCTGTTACATTTCAAAAGCATAAAGCTGATATAATGATCAATAAAATAAAACTTTTACAATGTACATTATGAGAATTTGATAAATAAAAAAATAATACTAATGGTAATAGTAGTAGTAATAATAATAATAATAATAATAATTATTATAATTATAATAATTACTATTATTATTATTATCATGTAAAATAATAATATATAATAACAAAATATAAGCTTTACTACAATTTTGAGTTCAGCTAAATTATTGTCCAAATAAAAATCTTATTCCTGTATAAGCTCAAGCGCTGTGAAAGAGTTTTGTGTATTTGATGCATATACTGAACAATCAACATTTTTTTCAATGGCTTTCAATAACTTGGATTGGTCCACCTTAAATATAAGTATCATATTTGTAATTAAACCATTATATTTCAAAAATACAATGTTAGTTTTGGCAAAAAGCAATTTTCTGAATCCAAACTTAAAAAAATAAACATCAGCACTAATATGCATAGAAATGTAAACTATATATAAATGTGTTTCTGTGGGTACATTTGTTACATAAATGCATTCAACAAAACATAATGATTAGCATAGCAGCCTAGTTTTCTTATTGCACTGATAATAGACTTCAGATGAATCTAAAATATGTATGTGTTCCATATATTGCACATCCCTACTTCTCAAGCATGAAGTGTGAATTAGTGATGGGTCTGTCTTGAACGAATACTTCATTTTGAACTGATCTTTTATGTGACTCAGGAGCGATGAGTCCTCCTAGGGACTGATTCGTTCATTCACGCATGCACACATTTGTGCAGGTGGAGTTGAAGAGTAGTTCATTTTTCAAGTCCTCCATAGTGTTTGAGTTGTTTGTTCATCACGTGAAAGACAGAAGCCAATCATATGCATCTAGAGCTGGAAAAAGATTTGGTTCGTTCATTTCTTAAGTCTTCGATTTTGAGTCATCTCTTTATGTACTGACACGTAATGAACAAACAACTCAAAAACCCACAGACTCAAAAGGTGAACTAACCATGGGTGTTTCCAGCTTAGACTTCAATAAAAGATTTGTTCATCTCAATCAACGAGACTCAAAGGTCAGAGTCAGTAAAATGATCTAAACTACCCATCACTAGTGTAACTGTTTGGGTTATTTTTGTACCTCTCACACACGATTGGCCGTCCATCATGCTGCATGGAGAGCAGGGAGGAGCACGGCTGTCGAGGAGGCGGAGCAATGGGGGCAGTGTTGTCCTGTGGGCTGCTCCTGTGTGTCACCGCATCTGTGTTTGATGAAGAGGAGGACATCGATAGCTCCGAATCCATAGGACAGGCACCAATGCGTCCGTTGTGCCCTGCTGACCCAGACAGAGCCATTTCTGGACCCACTGCTCCTTGGGGAAGCTCCATGCTAACAGATTGCTCTGCCTCCAGTGTGGGGGAGGATGGAGGAGATGGGCGGAGCTTCTTTTTATTGGACAGCAGTTTCAGCAGGCCTTTCTTCTCTCTCTGAAATCACACATTTGTGAAATGAGTTAAATGATGCAGATCAGTGAAAATGTGGTGTTACCCAAGGATGTAAATATTAGCACAGGATGTGTGAAGATGATTAGCTCTCAATGAAAAGTGTCAACAATGGGTATTAATGAATTTAAGCTGTGGATTTGACACAAATAATTGTAGTAACACAAATTTCACTTGTTAAAAACAAAAAACATCCTTTTGGGTTCAACTGATTCAAAAATAGAGACAAAGTTGAAGATGTTCCACAGTAAAAGTCATAGTGGCGTCTCATACTGTCCTACCAGGTAACATGATCATTGTAAATCATTTCAATGCAACACCTCTATTCAGATATTAAGGAGATAAATAAATCAAATATCAGCTCTGCCATTTAATCTATATTCAACAAGTAAGAAACAAATGGATTCACCAGGCATAGTTTCCTGCTAACTGCAAAACATCATTTGACACATAATCATAAAAACAGAAATGTGATTTGCTCTAAAATAACAGTAGCATTAAAGAACTAGAAGTCCAGTGAGTTAGATGACTTAGTGAGTCAAAGCCACAAGGTTTTTCTTTCAGTGTATTTTTCTTTCATATATATATATATATACACATACACACACACACACACACACACACACACACACACACATATATATATATATATATATATATATATATATATATATATATATATATATATACACACACACACACACACACACACACACACACACACACACACACACACACACACACACACATATATATATATATACAGTGGGTATAGAAAAGAATCACCCCCCTTCAAAATATTTACATTTTGTTAAATTGTAGCCTGAAATGAAGAGATACAGTTTTGTTTCATCTAGGTGTAATTATTCAGTACAATGTATAACATCCATGTAAAAGATAGAACACCAACATGTCAGAAAACAATTAACAAGCACAGAAACAGAATATTAATCACTCAGTCGTGCAAAGGATCACCCCTCTCCTAAAAATTACTTGTAAACTCAATCAGGTGTAGCTAATCACCTTCTTAACGACACACAACACAATTTAACTTTCACTGGTGGTCAATTTGATCAGCTCAGCAGGAAAATAGCTTTAGTGTAACATTTCAACCCCAGGTAGTGCAACTGAAGCAAACCATCAACTATGGATGGCAAGGCATTGTCAAAAGATCTCTGGGATAAAAGCACAAGTTAGGAGATGGATACAAAAAGGTGAATGTCCTGGCATGGCCAAGTCAGAGTCCAGACTTTGGGCTAATACTGCAAAGTCTAAATGTGCAAAGTTAGTAGAAACGTATCCCAACAGATTAAAGGCTGTATTTAAAGCAAAAGGTTATTCAACCAAACGCTGAAACAAGAGGGTGATCCTTTGTCCAACCCATTAATTTAGTTTTTTATATGTACATTTTTTTTGACATTTTGGTGTTATATCTTCTGGTTGGGTGTTATAAGTTGCACTAAGTAAATACAGTTAGATTAAACAAAAAATGTGTCTGTCTTCAGTGCAACAAAATGCAACTATTTTTAGGGGGGGTGATTATTTTCTATACCCACTGTATATATGTATATACATACATACATACATACACACACACACACACACACACACACACACACACACACACACACACACACACACACACACACACACACACACACACACACACACACACACACACACACATATATACATATATATATATATATACACACACAGTTATAACTATTGAATCACTTCAGCAAAGTTTGTATATATATATTAAGGGTGTAACGGTAATGTTTTCATCCCAAAACGTCAAGGTACAAGGCTCACGGTTTGGTTCAGTGCTACCATGATGAATATAGTCAGTCCAGATGTGCAGAGACTGTTAGAAAAAAAGACCGACCACAGTAGCGCAACAACCGAGGAACCGTTCACAAAGAACACAACATTTGTGTCCAACAACTCGACACAACAGCTATCAGGGGTTGTTCCGCCATTTTGCCTTTGTCTGTGCCTTTAATATAACTATTCATAATCACCTTTCATCACTTCTTGTTAACTGAAATAAATATTTTGTAGTATTTAATAATATAATTAAAGTAATTACACAACAATAATAATAACCTCAATCCACTACCCTCTAAAGCAATGCAGAGAGGTTGCCATAAGAGCCTAGTGAGATCCAAAAACAACCCTGATGAGTTGGGTTTAATATTTAATTTAAATGTTTTAATGGAGATCACCCAGAAATGGAAGCCCTATCATTGTTTGCTCCTTGTTATAATATATTTTTTTTCTTGATATAAGAGGACCCAAATGAAAATTATAAAACTTTTGCTTTGCAATTTTTGAGACATGTTTTAGACAATGAGCATAGAATCACCAAAAGGTGACGCTCTAGTGCAATTTTGGAAACAGCCACTAGATAGTGGCGGCTATTTTGGAATGAAAACTCCAATAGAACAACAGCATATTATAAGTCTGTAAAATAAACTATTCAAAATGCTGATGATTGTCATAGTAAGTGTTGTATTGTCGTCTTTCAGGTTGTATCACAGCTTTAATGTGCTTTTTAAATAAATAAATAAAAAACAAAGCAGCTGCTTGTCATTGCAACAGCAATAAGATCCAATGGACAGCCGACCACTTTCACTCCAAAATGGTGTTTGAGGAATTGCTGTTTTTTTTTTACATTACTTTGTTGTTTTTACTTTGTATATTCTTTAAAGATATTCAAGAAGGCTTTGTTTGTTTGGTTTTGTAAGATAAAAGCTTTTGTTTTTGATATTGTTAAAATAATTCATAAAATGTTTTACTAATGTTCTAATACTTTAAGTAGTTAAGATAACAAAACACAATTATATTTATTTCATATTTGATATTTATGTACAATTTTCCATAATTCCTCTTATTTTATCCCAGCTAATCCAACATACACACACGGACACACACACACAGACACACACACGCACAAACGCACACACGCACACGCACACACACACACGCACACGCACACACACACACACACACACACCAAAATGAATCTCCAGAGAGAGTGTGTCTGTGGGGCAGTGTGTCTTTTATAAAAGTGAATTGTGAAGATGTGCTAGTCAGCTACACTGTGCATGTATTGAGAATCTCCCAAATTGAACAACACTTAAAGTTGTGCCCTCTGGGCTCACAGAACACTCTGAATCATAAAAAACTGATGATTTCAGCTCTCTATCAGCAGGCATAACCATCCAGCTCAGCAAATAAGGTAAAACTGAGAGAACTTCTAACTGCAGCACATTAAAACAATACAGATGGGAGGCAAAAAGAAAAGCAGAAAACCATTAAATAGCTGTAGATGCCATGAGGTCTACATTGTCAGCTAAATCTTTAATTCAGGGGACTCACCTTGCAATCTTTATCCAGCCTACAGGCCACACCGTGATTGGATGCTGCCCCGAGAGGTTTAGTGCTGCCAGCGTTCACAGGTAATGCCACCATAGGAACAGGTCTCATGGCATCAGTGTCTAAAGAAGCAGCGCTAACATTAGGAGGGGTCAAGGATGCGGCAGCGCAACCCAAAGCCACCCCGACCCTAGCGGAGGAGCATCCCGAACTGGAGTTCAGGACAGGTGACGCCTGGAGAACCACAGCTGTGCTGGGAAGGTAAGCTACAGGATTGTGGGATTGAATGGGTGTCACTGCTGCTGTAGGCCGGTCCTGACTGTGACTTACAGCTAGTGTAGGGGGGAAAAGGGGAACAAAAGAGCAATTATTTATGATTTAGTTTGCTTTAAAATGTAGGTTTGAGAAAAATATACTCATACTAAACTGCTTTTTTTTATAGTTGCACTTTGCATTCACTTTTAAATCATTAAAAAGGTTAAAGGGATAGTTCACTCAGAAATGTAAATGATGGCATCATCTACCGATCTGTCTGTTACAAGCCTGTTCAAGATTTTAGAATAATTTGAAATGTTGGTAACTAAACCACCGTAGTCCCTCACTGATGTCTGTAGTATTTTGTTTTACTATAGAAGGTTACTAACCATTCTTAAACTTTTGTTTATTTTCATCAGAAACAAATAAAACATACAGGCTTGAAGTTATAAGAAGAAATAATTTTAAAATGTCCTACTTAAGGTTTTATTAGTTGCAGTTTACTAAAGTTATGAATTTGTTGAAATTAGTTAACAAGTCAGTTAGCAATTAAAATAATTTGTAAAACATTTATTAATCATAGTATTTCTCAGCACTCACTAAAACAACAATAAAACTCCAAAAAAAACGGTGTATATTATGTAACATGAACTGAAAATGAACAGTTGTAAGTTTGATTAAAGTTTAAAAAAAACTATATATACTTTTGTGAATTTAGCCAGTAATATTAATTAATAGGCATGAATGTAGATAAACTAAAGCTAAATAAATAAACGTATATGATATATTTAAAATGGTTTTACTTTATTTTATTTCATATATATTTGTACAAATTTTCACTAATTTATATTTGAAAACAACTATTTATAGAAGCTGCTCAAAGAGTAAATTTAGTATCAAGATAAAATTTAAAACTAAATGTCAAATTCATTATAACTTGTGTATAACTCTACCTGTTCTGACTGCATTGCGTGCCTGGTTAACAGTCATCTGTGACGTCACATGCATGAGCACTTTGGGGTGCTGACCGGTGGGTAGATGTGCAGCTGTCACCACAGCAGCAGGCAGTGAGCAGGATGGGGTAGCGTTTGGGCAGACTGGCAGAGGTTTGCTGAGGTCCATACTCCCCAAAGCAGATGAAGGGCTGACAATGGTGACGCCACGTCCAGCCTGAGAGCAAAGGGTCAGGGGGACTTTAGGCTGACTGCTGCCAGAAACAGTCCTGCAGGAGACGAAAAGAGAAAAGTGTGAGGATCAAGACCATCTAAACTGATGCTGCTCAGTTCAGATCTTTTATTCACACTTACAATTTTATAACACATTTTGAAAATGAATTGATTTGAAAATGTATTTACTTCCCTCGTTCTAACCTTGCTGAACACAAAAACATGCATTTTGAAGAAAAATGGTTGGGAACCAGATCTTTGAAAGCCAAAACTTGGGAACTTCGAAAGCCAAAATATTTGGGTAACAAAAAGTCAACAAAATATTTTCTATTGTGATCAAAGAGAAACATGTAAAGAATTAAAGCCTCCAACTCAGTTATTTCTTTTAGAATCTTATGTCTGATAACAAAAAAATTATATAGATGGAGCCATGGTGAAGACCCTTTAAACCGTTATTGTTTTGTCTTATAATTTCCTACAACTGTAAAAATCTTCTTGAGAGTAGAAGGGTATTTCATACTGTATATTACTTCATATTTGCAACAAAATTAACTATTCAATAAAAATAACTGTTATATTATTTTTAAAATAAAACTATGAGATTTGTTTTAAATTAATAAGTGGATATGTCTGTAATTCTAAAATTTGCCACAAGGGAGTGCTGAGTTCAATGAAATGTAACTGAGCGCAAAAGAGTTGTAAAAATGGCCATCATAAAATCAAGTTTTCCCCCCACATTAAAGATTTTTTAAACTGCATATCAACATGATGATTGATAAATTCCATTAAAAAGCACATCTTTTATTATACATTTTAACAACAATATGTTTGAACACAACCAGCTCAAGTTTATTGCAAGTGGAGACTTTGTATGTGGCTTGGTTGCCTGAAAGAACTACACTACTGGAAAACCAAAGCATAATCTTTTCTCAGTTCATAAGGTGTGCGAGTGATAACATGTACTAGTGTGTGTGTTTGTCATACCTGCTGACAGGACTCATGTAGTTACCAGGAAACACTCCGATCTTGCCAGTGTGCATGGATGTTCCTTTAAACCAGCCGTCCTGACAGCGCTCCAGCACCAGAAACATCTCACCCTTCCTCAGCTCCAACTCATCCTCCTTACGGGGAGAGTACGGAAACATCGCCACATACCTAAGAGAAGAATCACAGGTGACATAAAAAAAAATAATAATAAAATAAATTTTAAAAATAAAATAAAAAAACACACACACACACACACACACACACACACACACACACACACACACACACACACAATATATATTCATTTTAAACAAAAGTTTAGTTTATTAAAGTGTATTATTATTGAAATTTAAGAATGAGAAGAAAAGCTTACATTCTGCTTTAGCTCAAATTCTGCTTTTATTTAAATGTTTTACTCCAGAAAAAAAATTCCCTTGTTTTTTATTGTACTATAATTTACAAACTTTAAGCAGCAGAACTTTAATGATATTAATGTTCCTTGAGCAGCAAACCATCATATTAGAATGATTTCTAAAGGATAATGTAACAATAAAGATGCAATGTAAAGAGTAATGATGCGGAAAGCATTACCATCAAAAGAATAATTAAATAAATAATTTTATAAATACATTTAAATGCCTCCATAAGAATAAAATGGAACTTTGAAATACACATAAATATTTAAGCATTTTTTTCTAGTAATGTTTTTTTTAATAAATAAAGCATTTATTAAGTAGCTGCATCTTTATTTTATTATTTTAAATGAGAAACATTAAGTTAATTGACCTTATATGCAGTACTGCCAATCAACACGGGTTGGCACTGTTTCCTTATAGTTATCATACAAAATAACAATCACGTCTTTTAATATTATTTTTAGATTTCATTCAACTTTATTGTCATTACACATGTACAAGCACCAGGCAACAAAATGCAGTTTAGGTCTAACTAGCAGTGCAATAGCAGTAAGTGACGGACATATGTAAAAGTTATAAAGTGCAATTATGAAGAAACTATGGGTAATATTTGCAGATGGATGTGTTATGAACATTACATACAGGTTGTATTAACTATGAACAGACATTTACTATAGATGAATAATCTCTAAGACATATAATTTTCTAATAATTTAAAAAGGTGTAAACAAGAATGCCATAAAAAACGGGCATAAAAATTCCCCTGTCAGGCCACAATAAGCGAATCCAACAGAAATCAGGCGTGTTTAGTGTTGTGTTTAGTTCATCTGAAGAAAAAAAGGTGAAAGGTGAGGGGGTCAGGGCTCAGGTTAACTCCCGACTGACAATCGTACTCCCTTTAGACGTGACCTCTGACCCCTCACCTGTGGTTTCAGTCACGGTCAGCTTGCATTGGCTAACAGCAGAGAGGTGAAGGGACTCTCTCATACTCTCTTCAACAGCATGCATCACTAAATTGATTTAAAGTGTGTATATTTAATGTTGCACTCACACTGTGGGTCTCTGACGGCCACTCTGGTCGCCCGCAGCGGGTGATGGCCTTTGGCCAGCATTCAAGGCGGCAGCGCCAACAACTGAGGACTGAGACTGAGGTGGAGGAGGAGGTGGAGGAGGAAGAGCATCCTGAAACAATCAAACACCAATTAGTTTTACAACACCAGTAGAATTATGCATGTAACAGTACATTCTTTCTTGTTTTGAATCTATTTATTAATTTTCCTTCGGCTTAGTCCCTTTATTCAGCCAAGTGTATCTGTCTGTTATGCAAATACCCCAGCTCAGACAGTGGCCAATTGCGCACTTAAATGGCTGACGCTATGATGATCGCATCAACCCCAACTATAGACACGCCCTCCATCAATTGTTGATGCTGAAGCCCTGCATGAATTGATATGCTCGTCTCGAGTCCGCGGACAGACACTACTCTATTCATCAGGGGTCGCCACAGCAGAATGAACCGCTGACTTATCCAGCATATGTTTTACACAGCAGATGCCCTTCCAGCTGCAATCTAGTAGAGGTAAACAATCATACACACTTATTCACACACACTACAGACAATTTAGTTTATTCAAGTCACTGTTTCGCCTCTTGTTTTGAATTGTATTGTTAATCTATGTACTATCTACTTGCATATATGCAAGCAAAGTACAATGGAAAACAAAATTAAAGAATGAGCTACAATTTTCTAAATGTTCTTTTCTGAGGAGTAAAACAGAAAACTGGCCCAAAGTAAATTAAATTTATTCAGGCCTGATGGAAAACTTTGATGGTTGACAAATTAAGGAAAGACTGAATGAGGCAGTGAAATGAGGAGGAGGAAGAGTGTTTTTAGCTGTTCAGGCTACAGTCGAATTTTGGATTTTGATTGAAGTGCCTTGGTTATTTTGTCAAACACTTTACTAGAGTTGTACAGTCACAATTAAAACTCTTTCAAATTTCGAATATGATTACATTATGTATTTAAAAAAAAGATCAAGTGTGTATAAATCACTCTTCTAATTTTGATCTCAACTGTATATGTGGCAGAAAATGATGTCAGAGCGATCTCAATCTAAGTTTAGACAATGCCATAAAGCCCTAATCCCACTGCCTGTGACTGTCCAGCTTGTGGGCTGCTTGCTAACAAGCGGGTCTTTTGGCTGTGGCAGGTGTTGTGATTGGTGGATATCCAGCCTGGCTACATGTCTGGCTGAAGAAGGATAAATCGCTTCCATATGGACCAACGCACACATCTGCACACAGACTTTATGAGCCCAGTGGCACCACTATGAAAACAACTCTTGTTTTGTTGCTTTAAGCCACGTTTTTCCCCTGTTTATTTCAAGTTCTCCTACAAGGCCCTTTCTCCTAATGCTTTTTGCCTATTGCGTTTCATTAATTAATTGGTCTCATGTAATTTGCTTAATTTACTGCATTTAAAAATCTAAAAGAGCTGTTGCTTTTAAATCCTGCATACAAGATCAGAGAGGGAACCTGATGCACGCTAAGGCTACCTTTACAAAAACAATGCATTGAAAACAAAAGGAAACAGTACCCACACACACATCAATCTCGTAGAGCCATTAGTGTCCAGCCTGAGGCCCACACAACTCCCTCAAATGATGTGTGTGTTTGTGTTGAGGGAGATGAAGGGCTATCAAATGGCAAACTGTCCTCGTTTAGTGTTGTGATTTGAGTGTGTGTGTGTGTGTGTGTGTGTGTGTGTGTGTGTGTGTGTGTGTGTGTGTGTGTGTGTGTGTACATGCAAATGTATATGCGAATGAGAGGTTTGCTTTGTTTATGTGAGTGTGTTTGTGTTTCCCTCCTGTTCAAAAGGTTATTTTTTAAATAAATTAAAACTTTCAGCAAGTTCCATCTGAATGTTACAAGAAAATCTATTTCAAATAAATGCTTTTCTTATAAACTTTTCATTCAGTAAATGATGCAAAAAATTCAGCTGTCATAACAAAAAAATTACACTTTCACTTTCCTTCGGCTTATTCCATTTAATCAGAGGTCGCTACAGCAGAATTAACTGCCAGAAAAATTACACCTAAAGGTGCAGTAGGTGACTTCAGAAACATGTACTATTAACATTCCAATAGTATTGATTAAAGTAAATGATCTAAATGTGTTTATATGTATTTTTATATTCTGGGTAAGGGATGACAAAAAAAGTTATTTTAATTAATTACCGTCGGGCAGACAATTCCCATAACTCTGACAAGTAGCCAAACTGTCTGTCGACAAATGAAGATTTGTACAACTGCGCACCTCTGTTAATGCAGATCCACCAATGTGCGTTCACTCGGGAGTGACAGCAGTAAAAAAAACAATGCTGAATCAAAACTTTTTAAAATCCTAAATCAATATTGGAGTTAAGGATGATTTATACTTCTGCGTCAAGCGCACACATATGCTACGGCGTAGCCTACTCGTTGACGCATAGCCCTACGCCGTGGCCATCGGTGTCGCTGACGTGCACCTCTCAAAAAATGTAACTACACGTTAAAGCTACGAGCATTGCATGCACATGGGTTACGGCGGTCACTTGACGCAGAAGTATAAACCAGGCTTTACTTTTGCACGCTGACAAAAGGATGACACCATGGATGAAGTATTTCTTTTAGACTGGTAATGTAATGCTTTGAAACTATTTTAATCAAGCAAAGCTGATGTAGATTTTATTTTACGAATGGGTCATTGTTTACTTTGATTATTCGTTCTGAAATAGCATGCAAGTATGGGTTAGTAATAAGTATAATTCCTGCAAGCAGTTAGCTAACCACTAAACATACAGTAGTCGCCTTAGGACAAAGCCTGTGAGAGAGTGAGACCAGCGATTCTCGCGAGCATAAAATATTGCACATTATGACAAGTTTTGCTTGCTACACAACTGAAAACATGCTAGATGTAATAGTTTTTCGTTCTGAATTGTAGTAAAATAAAGTACTATAAAGTTTTTCATCTTTAAAGTGTGTTCGCAAATTTCAGGAGGCATGGCTTCGGATGGCAGGAGAGTTATTGTATTTGAAAGATATTATGCTAACCGGTTAGCATTTAGGCACATCACCTACTGCACCTTTAAAAATACAGTTTTACTGTATCTTTAATAAAAAAGTGAGCATATGAAACTGCTTTAAAATCAAATATAATTTGAGGATAATATTTACTGACTTAATATAATTGTTTATAATATTTAATAATTAGCATAGAAGAATATGTTTGCGCATTCTTAACTAATTCTTATTATTCAAATTAAATGTTTTACTGTGCTAAATTCATTATTGTTGTCAAAGAAAAAAAAATTATTATGAATACAAAATAAATAAAACAATATTAATTTTCTTGAAAACATTGGCATCATAAAAAAAATTAAATAAAAAAGTCAATGGAAATGTTAAGTTACCACGTCCCACTATAATCTCTTAATAATTACCTTTGTGTTCAAATATGGACCATAACCAATATGTGCACACACATGAATGCACTTGCACAAACATGTTACAAATGTATGTGTATTTGTCAGTATATATTAACAAACTGTTTTACGATGGCTCAAGATTTACGGATTATTTTTTTTCTTTCAAATTGCATTATGAGACCATTGATATCAACTTCTGAAGTTATGGCAAATATTCCCCACCCAAGACCCCTATGTTCTAAGTTTCATTCTGTTTTTGACCGCAAGTATCTTGTGTGAACTCCCTAAAGACTTCTGTTGTCTGAATGTGTCTGGTATGAACTAGTGTAATTATACAGGGCTCCTGGAGAGTGACAAATCGATTTCAAAAACATCTAATTTCGCACGTCCCAAGTTTGTACCCACAGGACTTGAGAACAGATCGACTGTGTCCATACTGTGAACAGAAACCTTTCCACAAGTAATCAAAACTTTTTAAAACGTGATTGATTTTAAAGCTGACATAAGAAAGAGCTGTTAAATCACAGGCCATCAATCAAAAAAGACATTATAATATGGCAAATAGAGGACACTTATTTGGCTGGCCTGAAACCTCAAATAGTGTTGAGTAACCGGGTTGTGAGTACTAATGAACACACAAAAAAATAATAATAATTAAAAAAATAATAATAATATTAATAATAATATAAAAATAAAGGTATTATTCTGCTGCTGGTTCAAACGACTTTTTTAAAATAAGTAAAAAAAAATTCTTACGTTTTTTTTGGACAACTTAATTTTTTTATGTTGCACAACATGACGGAATTTTGTGGAAACCATTTTTTTCAGTGCAACACCATTTTATTTACACAGCAGTGCCATTCGTATAAACTCAATCAATTAAAGATCAATTAAAGATCTTTTTCAAATTCCCCAGATTTTATTGATCAGATGTCATTTGACTTTTTTTTTTCCTCTTTAGGCTTGTATTAAAATGAGATCATGCATGTCAGACTAAAGTGACAGGAATTTTTTCAGCTTGATCTAGAGTATTCTTATGTATTTTCCGAATAGTGTAGGTATACCAAATATACAATCACTTTTGTCATAGAGAAACAAAATATTGCTGTATTAACTGATGAACTGGCGTTTTCCATTTTGGCAGACTTGAAAATATACTCAAAGATGAAGATATGTCACTCGTATAGTTTTGAATGGGGAAAAGTCTAACGGTCAATATGGTGAATGAAGCCCTGCCTACTAGTACAGGAGCCAATCATGGATTACTATAGACTGACGTTTCTCCAGGGAAAAGCTTAGACCAGACGTGTGCTTTTATGAGAGGTTTTCTCAGCGAATGCTTGCTTCACAGACATAAGAAATGTGTCCAAATAAAGCCTGACTTTTGAATAAACCAACTGCACTTAAAAACAAAAGTTTTTTGGTTTTGTAATCTGTATGAAATAAATGCTTTGTACAGTCAGTCCTGTCAATCACAGATCACATGACAGCAACTACTCAAACGCCCCTCAAACTTGTAAACAAAGTCGCCGGAGGAGATTCACCATGAAGACCAAGTTTTAAGTTAATTTAGAAGACTAGCATGATCTGACAAAGCATTTTGATAATGATGATAATGGGCAAAACTGCCATAAATGAGGTTGGTGTCGTGATTTCGTTCCAGTCGAGTGTGCATGTGCATTAGCTTGGGCAACCTGAAAAAAAATGCAGGTTTTGCTTGATTTGTATGTTTAGAAACTAAAGTTTTGAGACAGTTGTTGCTTAACTTTTATTGGTGATTACAAATATGTAATGTAATTGTAAGCTTGGCTAACAGTTTTGGAGAATTTGATGTTTCTCTATTTAGACAGAATGCCTGAGCATACTGCCTGAGAGGTGTTTCAAAGATGGCAGTGAAATGACTTGCCTTAAAGAGACTATGGTTGCATGGAATTGTGCATTATCCATTGTAATAATTACAATAGTAAGCACACTCAATATAAATACACAATCAACACAAAACAAAATAAAGAACTGTTAATTAATACGGCTGATTACATTACAAAACAACTTAATATTTTTAACTTAGTCAATGCACAAAAAAACATAAAAAATGTTAATCTCTGTATTAATTTTGCTCTACTAAATTATTTAACTTTGCCATCCAAAACAAAAATACAAAATAAAAATTCAACCACAACATCAACAAAAACCTTCCAAATTTATCAGTTAGGTTAGGGTTCAAACCTTACCACATCCATTGTATGAACTAATATTAATGTATTTGTGCATTAACATTATTTAAGGTTGCCAGTAGCTCGTGATTTATGGGTGTATTTTCTTTCATTTCAACTATCATGACACATTGATCTCAGCTCCAACCAATTTTATCAACATTTTTAGTAGTTTCAAACTTTATATTGTTTTGGCATGTAAACAGGTAGTTACAAAAGTGGGTAATAATAGGTCTGCATGTGAGTATTGACAAACAGACAAGGTCACTTTATACACAGAGGTCAGAAAATGCCATCTGAATAAACTTAAAGGTTGATACGTCAAGTAAATTGTGTTTTTTTAGACTCACCACTGGAATAGAGGCATAGCTGGTTTCTGGAGGAAATGTGAAAACTGTCGCTGTGGTGACAGGACTGCTTGGTGGAGGAGTCACAATGAGTCCTGTTGTGCAAATGTGAACCTAGGAGAAGGTAAACAAGAAGAAACGACAAGTTAATCAACCTTTCCTGAGCCATAGCCACATTGTCAACAGACAAGTAGAAGCATGTTATGAGACAGTGAAATTCTGCTGTGGGGATGACACAGAAAGGCATACAACCGAGAGAAATTTGGGCGGATCGCCACACACGTATGTGCACCCGATGACTGTTGTTTAAATAAACAAACTTTAATCCAACCAGACATGTTTGGAGCTACACGTCGACCTGACTTTACATGTGTTGTTCAAGCCTGAAATCAATCCACCTCAAGAACAACACTGATGGCCTTAAAATGTCATGACCAATGTGAACTTGCCTCTGGTGAGCTTAGTCGCGTGTGAAAATTATTTTTATTTCGACTGACGTGCATGAGAGAGCAAACAGATTGATGATTGGTTGACAGAGACCATATGAAGCCCTATGCTTGGGTAAACCAAATATGAGAAATGGCATTCCCCTCCAGGTGGGTTCTGACGCTGATTTCAGATTAGATTAACAAACTCATCATTTAATTTTACAACAATTTATTTTACTGTTATTACATATTGCAATATTGGTGACGTGGTGGCGCAGTGGGTAGCATGATCGCATCACAGCCAGTAGGTTGCTGGTTTAAGCCTCAGCTGGGTCAGTTGGTGTTTCTGTGTGGAGTTTGCATGTTCTCCCCATGTTGGCGTGGGTTTCCTCCAGGAGCTTCGCTTTCTCCCAGATTCCAAAGACATGCAGTACAGGTGAATTGGGTAAGCTACGTTGTTTGTATTGTATGTGTGTAAATAAGTGTGTATGGGTGTTTCCAAGTGATCGCTTGTAGCTGGAAGGATATTTGTTGTGTAAAACATGTGCTGGATAAGTAGGCGGTTCATTCTGCTTTGGCGACCCCAGATTAATAAAGGGACTAAGCCAAAAAGAAAACGAATGAATGTTCATTTAAGTTTTAATCATTAACATATCTTAAAACTAGTTCCAAACTGATTATAATGATCCATTCACAAAGCCAGTCAATTGGAAATATATAAAAAAAATAAATAAATAAAAAAAATTTGCATCGTTTATGCAGAATTGACGAACAGAAAAGAAAAGGCAATGTCTTTGTTTCCACATAATTACAATAGTAATAACAACAAATTGTGTATAGGAGTAACGTTTTACAAGCAGTAGCACTATAACAATTATAGGAGTAACGTTTTACAAGCAGGTACAATTGTAAAGAAACAATATATTTATTAAAAAACAATTGTTAATTTTAGTTAATGAAAAAAAGTTAATTCTTTGTTGTTCTTTGGTCTTTATTGTTAGTTAAACTAACTAAGCTGGCTTTTAATAATGCATTAATAATGTCAAACTGTGATTAATAAATGCAAAAGATCATTAGTAAAGTCCACAAGAAATAAAAACTAAGCTTATGATTTTGTTAGCTTACATTGCTAGTTTTGTGGTGAACACATCATTAAGAAAAAAAAAATCTGCTCTTCTAATCTTTCATGAATTAATTTCATTGTTTTTTCATTGACAGATTACGTATATCTTAGCAAATGGGCATGGCTAACATATTTAACCACGCTGCTCCAACTGTCAGTTTTGACAACAAACGGAAATGGTGAGGAGGTGTCTGTTAGGTTGTATTAACTTTCCCCAAACAATTTCTTAATCTTGCTGAATGAAATGCCTATTTAACTATATCCATTCCGCTCACAGTAGAAAAAAAAAAGCCATGCCCACTGTTTTCTCATTAAATATTGTTTTTGCAGAAACTGCATCACAATATAAAAAAATAACAGTAGCAGCTTCCGGTTCATGGGGACTTAAACCAATATTAATATGTCATAATGGATACTTCTAAATTGTGAACTTTACATGCAAATAATCCTAAAGGTCATCCGAAGCCTAAAAACTTAGTAAGCATGATCATTTCTCCCATACAACTGTATTTGAACAGCGATCACTCACACAGCATTTTTACATACTAAAAGCGCTCTTAAAAACAAAGATAGCATTCTTCACGCTGAATCTTTCCATTGGGGCATTCGCTACCTGAGCAAGTTCCACTTATCTAGTTACTATAGTTCTCCTTTACGACTAACCATATGAAACCCTATGCTTGGGTAAACTACATGTGAGGAATGGCAATCCCCCAGGTGGGTGCTGATACAGATTTCAGATTAGATTAACAAGCTCATCATTTAATTTTACACCAATGTATTTTATTACTACATATTGCAATAGTTATACAGCAATTGCTCATTTTGCAGTACTAGAAGTTACGCACATTATTTTTTTCATTTAAACTAGTTTAACTATATTTTTTTATAGTTTTTTTTTTTAGAATAACTTATTATCTCAGAATAACCCTGTGGTGATTTCAAAATTTTTTTAACAACTCTAGTGAATATATTTTTACAAAATTATTATTATTTTTATTACACATTGTAACAGTTTTTGCATTGTTTATGCAGAAGTGATGAGCAAAAAACAGAGTTTTGTTTCCACATAAGTACAATAATAATAACAATAAACTCTGTATAATTACAGGGGTAACATTTTACAAGCAGGGTCCATTAGTATTCATTACCTAATCATTAACAAGACAATTATTAGATTTATTTATTTTTTTTACCTTTGGTAATGTTAATTGTTATTTAATGAAAATAAAATTTGTCCTTTGGTCTTCAATTGTTAGTTCTAAAAGTGCATTTTGTAATGCTTACAATGCTAACTTTGGCTTTTAATAATAAATTAATAAATGTCGAACTGTGATAAATTCTACTTAAGTTCATATTAGAAAATACATTTATCAAAATTAATTAATGGATAGTTGTAAATTGTGACCCTCACATGCAACAAAACCAAAAACAGTCATCTGAATCCTAAAAACTTTAGTCACTAAGGGATGTAGTATAATTAGTATATAAGTAGGAAGCATAATTATTACTCCAATACAATTGTATTTGGACAGTGATCACTCACACAGCAAGTGCTCATAAACACAAAGATATCTTAAACTTCAAGTTGAATCTTTCCATTGGTGCATTCGCTACCTGAGCAATTTCCACTTAGAATCTAGTTATTTTAGTTCTCCTTTATGACTAACAAGAGGTCATAAATGAGGATCAAAAACAGGAGCTTTATGCCCAGGCTTTGTCAGAAAACATTAATATCACATGAATAGACCACCTAGGGCAGCTATGAGCGTGGGTGGTGTGTCTTGTGTACGGTAAATTCCTTTAAGTCCTCGGATATTGAGATCAGAGAGTTTCATACAGAACCTACAGAAATAAACATACATTTTCAGGATCAACCGAACCTTTGAGAGACACAACAAACAAGAAAGAATCAAACAGAATTATAGGTTCAAAGGGGCGCACTGCAGAGATTTTTTTGTGTTGTGACATTCAATATCTAGATCAAGTCCTGATGTGTGCGTGATGTGCTCTTTTCGGGTGAAAACTCTTTGCCTTTGTCTTCAAAAAGAAATTTAAAAGAAAAAAATCTAAAGGTATTTAGAGAGTAGCTCAAAATAGTCCTCATCAAAAAATAGACATGGATTTAATTATACAGAAATGATAAGATCCGCAATTTACTTTCAAGTTAGATTCAATTTCCTGTTCTTTCTTTCTCTCAGTACCTGAGGGAGATGCAACTCTTTTGCATATTGTATGACTGTCCTAGTATGGCATTTGTCATTAATGACATGACTTTTTTTCACTTCAGGTCCAGATTTAGATCTGTACTTCTCATTTCATGACCTGAACGTATCCAAGAGGGTAAGGTCAAACCACAGGCTTCTCCAGCTAAGGCACTGCTAAATTCATTACAGGTAATGAAATGGGTACGAGAAAAGGCCAAGCCATTTAAACTGCCAGACCTGGCACTCAACTCAACACTAAATATAGAATGAGGGACTGCTGTGCTTGCATATGTAATATTAAGAAACTGAGGCTTCATGAACACCTAAAATTCCAATTTTGCTAATCAAATCACAGGTGGATACACAAAAACAGGTTCAGCTTGCCTACATGTGACCATTTCTGGGTATAGATAAGAACACACTTGATAGAACTGCTCCATCATACAATGGTTCAGGTTGAATTTGTCATGCTGGAGGCAGTTGTTACCTAATGGTCAGTGAGTTGGACTTGCAACCCAAAGGTTGCAGGTTGGATTCCCAATGTTCTCACTCCTCACTCAAAATGTCTGTTTGCACTTGTATAGGTTTAAAGCAGATGATCAATTTCAAGTATGGATAACACTACATTGACAAGAAAGATGAAATATGTTGTAGGAAAGTACGGTAACCAATGAATTCATACTTTGCTCCACTGAATTAAAACAAACAATAGCCAATATTTATTTTAGATTTAATAGGTGATCTGAAATCTTACGGTGCTTTCACATTAGCACTTTTAGTCCACACCCAGGTTCATTTGAAGTCAGAGTACAGTACGTTTAGCTAGTGTGAACGTGTCTTCTGAACTCTGGTGCGCACCTGTGAACCCTACCCGAGTCAGCCAGAAAGAGGTAGTCTGGAGTACGGTTCGCGCAAACTCTGGTCAGGTTCACATTTGATATAAATGCAATCGTACAAAATAACAGAAGTGAATCACCAACTGTACAACAAACTTTAGTTTTCATAACGTTCATTCGTGCGTGCGTCTGTGTATCACCTACCTTGGTGACAAGTGGGACTGACCCAGTGCAAACAGTGATAATAGCCCCTTTTACACAGTGATACTAGTAAACATCTGGAAAATTACCTGGACTTTACCGGTAAATTTAAAGAGCCCATATTATACATGAAATAGGGTCATATCTTGGTTGTAAGAGTCTCCAACAACAGTCTAATATGCATGCAAGGTCAAAAAACACTTTCATGGTCTTATAATCTGCATTTATTTTTACCTAATTATCCCAGCGACTCCTGTATGAATCGTCCAGTGATTCATTTGTTCCCAAACCCCTCCTTAGCGCGGAGCTAATCTGCGCT